CTTAGTTTTTTTCTTTAGTTTTCACGTTCTCTGACTTCGATTGTGTCGAAAAAACTTGTGATTATTATTATTGTTAGAGGATGTGGGACTGCGACCGTCGGGTCGGTCTATTGTGCACTCGTCTGGGTTTAAAGTAGGTCTCTTAGCCCTATTGCGTCAATAAAAAGTAGTATAGAACTTACTTTACAGAGTTTTATTGCCTTATCCGTAAGAATATACATTCCCAGGAGCCTATTCAATATGTGCATTTGTGATACAAAATGAAATAATCCTTACTGTTCTGTTAAATATTTAAAAAAGGAAAAATCAACAATTGCAGGACATAATGCCAAATTTTTTTATCTTATCTTTAATTATCTTATTTTTATGGCGATCGTAATATCACCAGGTCAAAACACAAGGAATACTTTTTTTAAGCAACATATGGTATACATATGGTAATCTATACTATATAAAGGAAATTTCTGCATTCATTGCCAAATTTATCAGAATTTAAAGTTCTGTTTTTAAATGTACCTAAATTTAATTCGAAACTTGTTTAAAATTGTGAAATGACGTTTTAAAATTGTTGCCAACAGGTAGTTTGAATATTTTATAAATTGAAAGATACAAAATTGCTCGTTCTTTCAACAATACATTGTTGTGCGAATTTAAATATAAATTTACGGAACTACCTAATTTCAAAACTTGTAAGGTTTCATTGTTCCATTGTCCTGAGCTAAAACTGACATACAGAAAATCCAAAAATAAGCCCTACATATTTGTATCTTTATTCGCTGAAACGGTGAATCTTTTAATTTCCGTAAAGGCATTTTTAGTAAAATAAAGATATATTTTAAATTGTATGTATCTACACTATCTTTAGCACAATTTTTTATATAATAAAGAGTTTATTAAAGAAAGTATAATTCTGTGAAAACTCATGAATCCTATCTATGCTAAAAAAAATGATAAAGATATATACAAACAATTTTTTTTCTATTATTTTAAAGATTTAAATAAAAATCTACAATGTCTGCAGAAGAGAATATGCAAAGAAATTCTGATTGCTTTGAATTTATTTTTATTTTAGAAATTGGCAAATGAATTTTCTAAAAATATATTTTATATCTTATTATAAACATTTAACGAACGATTAATAAATTAAAATATAATAATTATTATTTTTTTTAAAGTATAATAATAATTATTCTTTATTAAATATAATAATAATTATTCTTTATTAAATATAATAATAATTATTATTTTTTAAAAATATATATACGATATATAATTTTTGAAAGAATTTTATTAACCAAATAAAAGCTTTAAAGGATTCAAACTTTTAGATACTAAAACTAACTCAACTTATGGGTGAAATTTCAGTTACGTTGCTTCAACGGAAAACGCAATTTCTCCGAAATGACTTCATTTAAAATAAAGAAAAAATTGGAAAATCAATATAGCAATAGATATCACATGAATAGCACAAAGTTATATCATTTGCATATGTTAGATAAAAAACTCATTAATTATATTACATTTTCGCCTCTCCTAAAAGGTAATATAATCAAATATTATTCATTTTATTTAAATATAGTGATAAATTTAGATAAAATTATTTGTAAAACGTATATAATATAATTTACTCATTCAATATGTTACATTAACGACACAAAAAAAAAAAAAAATAAACCTTAGCTTTTTTGCAATTAATCATTGTTTTTTATATATATATATATAGAAACATTATACATATATTAATATCATATATATTTTAAACTCTATTTAATATACAAGTACAGTATAATATATATATCTACAAAAATAAAATCTGGCTTATTTATACCATATACTGCGTTTACACTATAAATTTCAAGGCAATTAGCGTAGTTCAAACCATAAAAAATTGTTTACACTAGTTTAAAAGTGTGAAAATCCAAATTTATAACCATTTTAAACTGTTTTAAAAGCGAAAGTCTCCTCCAACCAAAGGAAATTTAACTTTTAAAAGAACGTTGATTTGTTTTAATTATATGTTAATAAAAAACAATTCGAAAGAGATAGAGTAGATTTTTAATAGAACAAAACACCGTAATAATGCCAGAACTTTCGTGCAGAAACACAATTTAACCGAACAAGCATCTTTCATTAAGTATATGTGAGGGATTATGAGAATATGTACGAAGATGGTCATTCATGGTGGTGATAATAGTTACCATTCCAGAATTCTCTTCTAGGCCCAAAGAAAATTGAAATTAATACAATACATACTTTAATGTAAAAATCTATTCTATAGTTTAATTATTTATCTAAAAATTTAAACTTAAACCTCAAAACGATAGTGTAAATTGTCAAACTTAAACAGAAGATTAAGTTAGTTCTTTTTTTCAATATAAACAATTAATAAATAAATATTAGTTATACTTTGTTGTTATAGTGTGTGGAAATATATTTAGTTGAAAGAATGAATGAAATTAGTTAACAAATATATGGTGGCCAGAATGGAATAAGTGGGTGAAAGTAGAGTGAGAAGAAGAGGAGTTGCTTGGGATATGGGAACCATAAGCGTGTATATTTAGTTATATATAAGTTGAGTACTATTATAAAATTATAGAAATATTAACTAAATCATTACTTATGCTAAACAATGACACTACGCGATATATATATACACTATAATTTACCATGTCATATGATATTCCATTGTATTAGTAGTAAATTAACTACAATTCTAGTTTTTAAACATTAATTAACTGAACGGGAACTTTTAAAATCATCTTAACGCTATTTAGCAAATATGGATGTTACCCCAGTAGGTTTGACAATGAATATAAAAAGTTCGTAGACTTTATAATATCATATAAATAAAAAGTATGATTACAAAGTATATTGTTGTTGTAAAAATTTATCAAAAAAGTTCTAAATTAATCTGTAAAATATCTGCTTTAAAATTCTTCGGTAGTTATAGTAAAATCAATATTATACTATGCTAGAGAGTTAGTTAGGCACAACTATTACACTTCTTTATTTCCATACCTATGAAATAATAAAAGTTTCTCAAAGTAATTAATTTATTTGTATTATTTAATAACAAACTGTTAAATTTCTTTCCATTCTCTTCGCAGTCTCTCACTAGTATTGTTTTTATTATATATATCTGCTATATGCATGCTAAGCTAAGAACTGGTGTTACATCTAGTCGTGTTACAAGCTTAACAACTATTGTTACTCTGTTAAAATGAGAAAGTTTTAAAATAACGTATGCTAAATAAATACAGTGTAATTGCTACAAATATATCATATCTCAATTAATATAATATTCACCATCTAAAGTCAATCACTTCTAGAAAGTAGTTAAAATCAACATTAATATGAATTTTATTACCTAAAGTCAATTACATCTGAAATTTATGTTGTGCTATAGATATAATAAATCCAATGTAATCTACTTTACCAATAGGAAGTGCTATATATTAAACAATAGAAAGATTTTATATTTGATCATTGCTAGCAGTCACTTTAAATAATAGAAACAAAAAAAATTGAGAGTGCAAAGAGGTTGGAATTTATATTTGAAGTTTCACTATAAACGTTCCAAAGAAATCAAAAAAAAGAACAGTTCTAGTATCCAATGTAGGACAAACGTTGCGAAGCCATTCCTCAACGATGAATGCATAAAACGCTTAAGTACTTTTTGCAATTGAAAGCAAATCAAGTAGATTTACTAAAAACAGTACAACTTACATCAACAAAAGTATATCTGCATTCCATTTTTCTATTAGAAAAAATAATTGGTCGTCTCTGTAAACGAGTGGTTCCGGGTCATAGAAACTGTATTTTTTTGGAACCCACGATATTACCCACCTGTTGCTTGTCACAACACATACACTACACATACACTCATATTCCTACTAGTTTTTAACTCCACCCTATTCAGGTAGTAAGGTTTCTTCATCTCGGCTCAGCTTATGTTTAATTATTTTCATTCGTTTCATCTTTCATGTCTTACCTAACTTCTCTCATCCTCCGCTTCTATATTTTGATACAAGTATTAATAAACATCTATGTAGACAGAAAACTATAGTTCCCCAATGGACACAGTGCCACAAGCAGCACTGATCAAACACACCTAAAGTTCTACAAACAATAGCTGACTATAATAACAAGAACCAGAGACAATAGCACGGCATGTCCCGCAATAAGACGTACAAAGTAAAGAAATATTAAAAGAGATAGTTAAGTAAAATGCTGAAGTTGCTTTGCAACACTTAGTAAGAGGATACATAATATCACAATATACTACATGATATATATTACATGTTGTAATGTACAAGTGCGGTTCAAAGAACACCCAAATCTGTATCTTGAAAGCCCTCGTCTGCACAAACGTACAAGTACCGTCCACTCGTTTCAACAGGGATCTCTTAAGACAAAAGACCTCTATGGGATTTGACAACGACAACCACCCGCGTCAATTATATTAAATAATATATATAATACTATTATATAATATATATAGTATTATTATATAATACATGTAATATTATTATCAATATAATATATATAATATTATTATAAGTATATTTATTATACTTATGATATTATTATATTATAATATATATAATATTATTATATTATAATTCATATAATATTATAATATATATAATATTATTATATTATATTATATATATAATATATAAATATTATATATTATTATATTTATAATATATAAATATTATATATTATTATATTTATAATATTATACAAAACCTTATTGATTAAAATATTTTTTAAAATAATATAAACAAATTAACTACCACTAATTAACAAATCGCTATAAAATTTAATTATATAGTGATATACACAGATACATATATATGTTATCTCTAATCATGTGATTATTTAGTAATATCTTATAAATCTTTAAAAAATATAAAATGTATAGAAAACAAATAAAAACAAAAAAATATAAAAAATAAAAAAAAATAATAAATTGTAGAAAATGTTATTGAACTTACTCTTTGTGTTCTTTTTATTGCGGCGCGGCATTTTGTCGTTTTTATTCCTTTTCCCCTTTGATTTTAGAATTTTAAATGAGCAAATCGATTCTGTGGTATTCGCCGTGTTGAATGATTTGGTTGCAACTGAAAGAGAAGATATGCTGCCTGCCGTGTTAGCGCTTTCTGCTGCACAAACTTGTAATTCCTTAATCAGTTGTCCTGTCCTGTCCTTTTGTCGAGACAATGAATCGAAAAGTATTTACTACTTCTTTGAAACAAATTAAATTTTATCCTTTTATTTAAATTCGCTGTCTAGATTGTTTTGAACGAATCAGAATCAGCACAATCACCAAAAATTCTTTTCTAAAAGAGAATAATTTTAGTAATTTCGAATTAATTTCAATAGTAAAATGAATGTTAAGATAGCTCTTGCTCATCACTTAAAATGGTTAAAATGGTAAGCATTGAAAATAAACAAAAAGAAGCAAAAGAAACAATTTTTTGAGGCAACATTAATACTTAAAAAATGTTTGGTTCAAGCCAATTGTGCCTTTGCGGAAAATGCAGAGTTGTAAAATTCGTCAAAGTCACCACACAAATTAGGCATGCACACACACATACACCAGCACTGTACCTGAGAGCCAAGGAGGCATACGCAGCCGACACACGAGGTGTTGTTTGTTGCGATGTGTGCTTACTGCGTTTATGCTTAGCCAAATATGTTTGGTTTTAACCTTAAATTTTTTTTTTTTGTAATAAAAACACACTTCAAGGGTGCCGAAATGAGTGCAAAAAAAAAAAAAAAAAAAAAAAAATTTGCACGTGAAATCCCTAAGATTTCTTAAAAAAATTTAATTTAATGTGTTATATGAATTACTGTCGCTCAAAATCGCACGTTTTTTTTTTTTTTTAATATTGATTGCCGTTTTCTTTGAGTTAAATTTTTGCGGAATGCGAAATTTTACTGCTTTATGTTAAATATAGAAGATTGAAGCAATTTTCGATTTTTCATTTAAGGATTAACGCAATGAATATTATTTTAAATTTAATTTAATCAAACACTAACCACACTTAATCAAGATGCACCAGCGATGGAATAGTTTTGTTTATTCCAGTTCTTCAAGCCTTTCCTCAAATTCCTGTGTCTTTGGGTTTCACTCACTTTTACTTTCAGAAAGTTTCTAAAACTGTTTTTAGTATTTAATAAAAAATATTGTTTTTTATAGTCTAAAGTTGAGGATGTTCCTGTTGTACTCGTCGAGTTCAAATTCTTTATTATTGTTAACCTGGCAGCGCGAAAGTTATTTATATTCGTTGCCCTCAGTGCTTGTATAGTTAATTGAGCTTTTGTGGTTGCAACAAATTTCATGTTTAAACGTAAATTTCAGTTAAAAACACGCTTTTTCTTTTCTATTTTATTAATTGCACAAATTGCACCACTTATCAGCAGAACACAAGATGAGTGATAAATGTTAATTGAAAACAAAATTCAAGGTATTTCAAAATTTATTAATTAGTAATTTTTCGCGTTTCTGCTGCTTTTTTGCGAATTTCCAATAAATTGTCTTGTGTTGTTTGCACTTGCGACGCTTTAATACGTGAATACGTGAAGTATGCCCACACAGTCACAATATTAGTAATGATATTAAAAATAAAAATCACAATGAAGTCGTCGCACACTCCGCGCGACCGCGTTATTTATGTTGTGAAATATGAATAAGACAGAAATTTTTTAACAATTTCGCAATTGTTAAATTGCTGCTTCTTTCATTTGGTATTCCACTTCGTTATGAAATTAAACTAATCGCATCACCCGAACCACGATGTACCATTCAATACGAGTTTTACTCAAATGAACGAAATTCTTCACGATGGCGCTCATATTAATCACCAGTGTTGGTAAACTGTAGGACTGAGAAAACAATTTCATGCATTCAAGCATGAACTATTCAGCAGTAGATATACATTTACATTTTTATTAGTCATCGTTTAACAGTGGCTACACTTTGACAAATCATAAAATGAAGTGTAGCCTGAGCTACAGTTTTAAATTCATTCTCATTAAATATGTGATATTGAATTACGATATTAGTTAATTTTATTTTTGTTTGTTTCTCTTTATTGTTAATTTTTTATTTGGTAAATATATATAATTTTTAATTGATTTTTGATTTTGTTTTGTCTTACAGAAATGTTAAAGACTTTTGCAACAATTTGAAATAATGATTGAAACAAATTGGCATCACTTTTAAAATATTAAAAACGTATATATGTTAATTATATATGTTTTTGGTTGTGTTGTGTACAAGATAAAATATAAAAATTGTATACACTAAAAATTAATTAAATTAAACCAAAGACAACAAAATAAATAATAGAAAAGTAATGGTAAGCATTTTTTATTATATTAGGGGTATTCAGGCAACTGATTAGTTGTTTAGTTGATTCAAAAACTTCATATAAAAAAAATTTAGCATTTTGATGTTAATCAGTTGCTTGAAGGACCCAAAATGCGTAATCTGATTAGTTTGTTGTGTGTAAATGCCTTGGCAGTACTCGCATCAATAGCAAAAGTGAAACATACTTGTGTTTGCAAAATTGTTTACACACAATACAAACAGCTGAGAGAGATAGCTAACAAATTTCTATACAAAAGTTCATTTAAAGTTGTTATTACGACACTTGGGACTGGCAGCACTATTAATCAAATTTGTACTAATCTGAGAATCACCGAAATAGTTGATTCCCTGCTTAGTTTCATTTTTGTGTGCAAATTTTTGTTGTAATCAACTACTAAGCAGCTAATCAGTTGCCTGAATACCCCTATTGTTTTAATATTTTACACTTTATTGCTTTTTATTTTTATATGATTTTAACGGATGACTGGAATTTTGAACATATTTCCAGTGAAAATTCCCAATAGACTGATTTTTCTATTTAATTGCACTAAAGTAAAACTTAATTTTGAAGAGTTTAAAAGCATTGTTGTTGCTTTACATATTTTCTTTCGTAAGTTGCGAGTATTTTTTTTCCTACTCTGAAGAAGAAAATACAGCTAATGTTAAATTAAAATTTGAGTTAGCGTTATTTTTGCGCACAATTTTTTATTTTTATCAATATTTCTTTATTTAATATTGTTTCAAACATTTTAAAAATAGTATAAATATTTATTTTTATACAAAATGAAATTTGCTTGCATTATATGCACATATACAAGATACTTGATTGATTGCACACTAGTTTTTTGTCACCCTTGCGAGCCACTCAATGCACATATTATGCGTTTTCAGCGGCTCGTATGTGTGGCAAAAAATGCACACTGGCTTTTAAGCGCTAAGTGAGACATTGGCATCACTGTTATAATCTATCAAATGTTTTGTTTTCACAAACAACAAATCTTGCTTATGTGCACATAATACAAAATTAATACTAAATTAAAAGGAATGGATAGAATGTTGGAAATTTCAAAATAAAATCCTGAAATTTTCCCAATTTTCAAATTTATAAAATTTTTGAATTTCGTTTGAATTTTTGTTTACAAACTATTGACATATGATTGCAATATTCATTAGAATTTCCAATGAAGGTTCACAATAGTTTACTTATCGGTTGGCATCACTTTTTCCTTTACTGGCCGAAGTGTGTGGCCAGAATAGAACTATTGGCTTAGATAGAAAAAACTTGCCAGTAACTTGTTGTTTTTCGCTACACTTGCCAGTCGCCGAAAAGGCCTATTAATGTATAACACACGAGATTAATTTATAACACTGTAGATATTTTGCACGAGTAGCAAGATTATCCTGAAATGAATAGCTTTATATGTAAAAACAAATCAAACTTTTTCATCTATCAAATAAAAAAGTTTGATTTGTTTTCACATGTGCCCAATTTGTTTATTTATATATTTAGCTATCGTTTTGAAAAAGTTAATGAAATCAAAATAATAGCATATTTGTCTGCAAATGCATTGTCAACCGATGACAAACCTTCAGATGAAGATATATTTTTCAACTTGATACCATTTACAAAAACTGAAAAAGAAGAGTTAAAAATTTTATCGTAAATGTTGTGTGCAATTACACAGAAAAAGAAATGGGTGTGAACATAATAATTCAATTGGTTTATTTACTTACACAACTACAAAACATTTAGATTACTCTAAAAATGTTTGATTGGGCAACAAAATTTGACAGATCGTTAGAATCCAGATTTACCAATCGAAAACGTCATCAGTAAAGTCGAAACACAGCTGATGACGGTTTCGTCAGCTGTGTTTCGGTTTATTTATTAAATATCAAAATGAATATTAAAAGAATTTTCTTCTTGTCACGACGCAAAATTTATATGCTTAAATCTTTCCATATATTATAGCTAATTCAATTGAATCGAAGTAAACATTAATATAATAAAGTTAACATAATAAATGAAGTGTTAAATTTATATGTGGTATAAGCTCACCAAAAAAAGTGTTTGTATAAAGATGTATGTACTTGAAATATTTGTTAATTACAGTGAAAAACCAACTCTACACGCTGTGAAATAAAAATTAAACAAATTCTTTGTTATAATTAAAATTGAAATCAATAAAAAAAAGCGTATACAAATTAAAAAATTGTTACTTCCGCATTAAAACAAAACTTTTAGTAGGAATAAAAACATATGATTTAGTACAGATCTACTTGAAAGTATTCCCTCCCATACCTTCTATATAAATTGCTATATTCTTGGAGAGAAAATACGATTTATTGTTATTTTACTTTACTTGACTTTTATTTGAAAAGTACGAGCTAACCTAATATGTTATATTTAATAAAATGTTGATATAATACAATAAAAATATATACTTGCAGTCTCAAAAAATAATTATTTACGAATAATTAAATACAAGAATTATTTCCAAGACCACTGATGATGGGTATTTGGCAATACTCGAAACAGCTGTATGATCAGCCAAAAATTCAATTAATTAAAATAATATAAAATATAAATTTTTGTTGTTGTATTTCACTACTGTTCGAAAAAATCTCTTTAAAAAATATATAATATAATATTAAATATATAATAAAATTTTGAATGATCTTATCATAATAAATTTGGTTTAACTAACATAAACACTTGTTGTTTTTGATATTTTCTGTTAAATATAATGGGTAGTCATATTTTACATTTTTTTTTTTCAAAACTTACAAGTATAACTGACACCTTCTAATGTTTCGAGAAAGCATACTCACATCAAAGGAAATCGAAACAGAATTCTATTTTTTTGGCGCTATTATCTCGTACTTTTTAAATGTGACTAATTGCTGCAAAAGTATTGAGATAAATGAGAAAATGTGTTAAATGTGATATAGTAAATGTATTTCTTACTGACTAATTTTGATGTCTATTTAATATAGTTATTTATTTAAATTTATTTATATTTATTTATTTATATTTATGTATATTTATTTATGGTTATATATATTTATTTATAGTTATTTAATTTATTTATAGTTATTTAAATTATCTAACAAATGTATATATAAACAATCTAAAGCAAGTATGCTGAAATTTCTTCTAGAAGCAAAAATGCTTAAATTTGAGAAACATAAAATTTATAATACTTGAATAAATTTATATAGCTGTGATTTGTGCATTAGTTATAGCAGAGCTGTGACTCAAGCCTAATATTTCTGCGGCCCGCGCATTTTTTCTTATGTAATTACGCTCATTTTTCTTTGGAATATTTTGGTATAATTGGATTAATTTATTTTTATGGTATCCTAAATAATAAATTAAAATATATTTTTTTATGTTTTGATTATTATTACTTATAATAATAAGTATTTTTAGTTTGATAAATAAATAAAACTAAATATAACATTATCGCAGTATTTTTATTTTTGTTAAAAAAAATTATGAACATATTAATGTGTATTGGCTCGGTATCGGATCTGTTCTGGATAGCCCTTAGCAACAAATACTGAAAAACTTCAGAATTTAAATAACACAAATAGGTTTAGTTCTTGAGAATTGTAGTTCAAACGATATGTATGGACAATGAAATCCATTGATGTTTTCAAAGACTACTGATATTTAGATATTTGATGGTATTCGAAACAGTCCAAGAACTTACTGGGTCAAAGTTAAATTTTTGGAATAAATAATTTTCTCACTATCCTTCTCTAGTTGAAGATATATTTCATACCTTGGACGATATTATCTGCATCTCTCGTGTGATCCCGCTCTACAATCGTAGTTACAACAACCCCTTATACAGAGGTCACTCTTAGTCAGTAATTACTACCTAGTTAAAAATTCCTTCCTTCCTCTCCTCATTATTTCCAATTTTGGCTTAAATATATTTGTTGTCTAAATTCTAAACCTTCTGTATTCTTTAATGTCTGTCTTTGCCTTAATAACTGGAATCGAGTTTTAGGTTTTGACCTTTACGGTCCCAAGTATGGAATTTGTCCATTTTACATTCCTAAGAGGTTGTTGTAGTGTGGTGTGTGTCAATCTGTGGCTTTCAATTCTTTTCCACCTGCCGGAAAAAAAATTCATATAATTTGTTTCAAATTGCTTGCGAAATGAAAAATAAATTTGTAATTATAATACAATTATTTAACTGTTTGATAAAATATAACAAATAAATAATACTTTAAGTTAAGTCAACTTTAATTTAAGCATTTACGCACACACACGTATCTTTTTCGTAAATATTATTTGTGTAAAATACATTTAAAAATGATATAGTTGCTTTTTTGTATATATTACTTATTTATTTATAATGGATTGATCAAAAAATCTCAGCGGTTTTTATCAAAATTGAAAGTTTTACAATTTTATTTCAAAATTGGTAATTTTTTTTGTTATATTTTTCAGAATTAACGATAATGACAATATGTCTCAATGTAAAATTACGGTAAATGCATCTAAACTTCCTATATAAATTTTCTAATTTTGCATCAACATCTTAATTGTCCTTCGATAAATATAAAGAGAATGGATAAATTTTACTTAATGTTCAAACAGGGATAGTGACCAGTTCCTTTTCAGGTTTTTTCGACAATTAAACGTTTAAGTTTATTGGAATTACGACAAGATAATAGCTACATAAATTGCTATAGGGGACATTAACAGTTCTCTAACAAATCTCTACACTTTACGATCAGGGAGAATTCGAATATACACTTTACGAATTTAAAATTATTCTAGCATATATATAGCATATATTCCTTAACGTTAATTACGGTCTTGCCCTCTTTTATGGGACTATATATTTTTTCCACTAGAACAATTTACCTAAAGATTGATCGCTTTTAATCGCTTTTAATGTCATAAGTTTTAAGAATTATTGGTTTTGGTTCAACTCGACAGCTATTCGTAAATGAAAAATGTGCAAAATTTAAAATTTTTTTAAGCACTTGAAAATCAAATAAAAAAAAACCTATTAGCCGAGACCAACAGTCCCTTCATTATCTACTATCAGTTGAGCATAAGAATTAAAATAATTAAATATTGAGGCTTTATAAAGGGTGAATTTATGCACAACTAACACGCCTACAAATTGAAATATTAAACTCATTTTAGAAGCTAAATAAACCGGAAATTTTTTTTTTACGTAATATAAGGCTTAAAAAATGTATAAAGTTAAAGTAAAAAATACGCTAATTTGAAATTAAAACTGTTATTAAAATTTATCAAAAATCGAATATATCGGTTTGTTGATGTGTTCTTACGAGTGCTTACAATGTTTACACGATACAAAATACTTTATCGTAAAAGTCACCTCAGTGTAGCACACATAAGTTTCACCCGTGCATGGAAGAGTCTTCTGAATACGTGCAATTAAAAACGTGCTATAAAATCGTTTATTTTGTTTACAAGAATTTCCCAACACAGTAAAAAATTAAAGTTTCACTATACAATTCAACTTTGTTAGCACAACCCACTTAGTAATTGTTTTGATGTTCATTTAATGATATTAAGTATATTTAAATAATACATTAATATTTTATATATATAAAAGTAATACATTTGCTATACACAAACATACAATTTGTATTCTAGCCAAATTTTCGAACAACAATTATATTATATTTTATATATAAAATAACATATATAAATAAATAAATATATATATATAAATAAATAAACATATATATAAATAAATAAATATTATTAAATTTTTTGCATTTAATTTAACATATCTATTTATATTAATTTTATTAATTTACTAACTGAAAGTTTATAATGCTAGTAATATTAAATATTATATTAAAGTTAAATAAAAATTGCTACTCATGAGTAGATAATGTTTACGTAAATCGTGTTTATACAAACATTTAACACAGTTGGTTTGTATAAGCTTGATTTAAGGTATCGTATTAACAAACTATATAAATTTCTGTAAACTCTAAAATCGTTAATTAGTTTTAAATTTTATTTATAAAATTTAATATTTATGTCTTTTAAGCATTCAGCTTTTTTGTGGTAACTATTCTTTTTAATAGTTTTGATTTACGTATCTAATTATGTGAATAAATATTAATAAAATTACATAAAATACAAATATAATTGCATGCTATTCACATGACATCATTTTATTTTTATTAACTACTGATCTGAACTATATTGTTGCTGTTGTTTATGTGGCTATTGTGTTGAAGCCTATTGACTCAACATTTTAGTCTAAATATATCTGAACAGATTTACGTTTTTCTTCCTTATACTTTTTTAAGATTAGACAGAACTGAATTTATGTATGTATACTCTAAATTGGAATTTTCTTTCACACAGCTGATTGCCGATTGATTGAAATGCCGCGTAAATGCCAACTTAACCTTAATTTCAAGTTAGCGATATTACTATTCATTATTATTTATCAATTAAGACAGTGCGCTGTCAGTGTGTTGATCTAATTTGCGTTCTAATTGTGGAAAATTCTAAATTGTCCCGATAATGTACTAAAATATTGGTACTTAGAATATATATTTGTTTAATAAATAAAAAAGTGAATTAAATTATGGAAAATGACAAAAAAAAACATTTTTTAAAGCGTTTTGTTTTATTTATGTTAAAAAAAAATTAATTATCGTTATTACAAAACTTTTAACCGAAAAATGAACACTTATTGCATGTATTTTTCATTATTTAATGAGCATTTGCAATAAATTTTGTAAATATTTGTATTTTCAAACATTTATATTACTTTAATTTAGTATGATAAAAATGTATAAAATAAAATTTTATTATGACCGTGTGCGAGTTTGAGTAAATTGATGGTAAATTGAGGGAAATAGTAAATTATGTCGGTCGGTATGACAGCGAATGTTGGTAGTTACCAGAATTTCGAATAGGGTAAATTAGATACAATTTATATAAATTAAGTGTTACGATTGTGAACATTTTATAAGATGTTTTATAAATAAATAATTAAATTTGAAAACTTTTAACCAAAAATAATATATAAGTGCAATAAATAAATAAATAAATATCTACATAAGTGCACTGCAAGAAATTCCTAGAAAATTTCAATTTACTTTACTATAAAAATATACTAAAATTAAAAATTCATATTTTGTTTTATAAATTTGACACACTAGTTTTAAATATCTTATATTAAATTTTTAATTATAATTATTTATAATTAGTTTGTATATGAAATGAAATTAAGACATATAACAAATATAAAACATTACAATCTTATATTCAAAACCATATATTATTTTTGGTAAAACTCAAACGTACATTAATTGAAATAAACCAGTGACTGCTTAAATGGGCTAATTCTGTTTATTTGATCTATGTACCAAACATATATAACTAAAATATGTGTGTTAGGGTGTTTATTATTGTTTTCTGATATGAAATTCTATATTAGAAAACGTGACCTATATAAAGTCACAATTAATAAACTGTATGTAAACGCTTAACTGTTTCCAATTACATACAGTTTCAAAAATATGTACTTGTTCATTTTATTGTTTCGTTTTCCAGCACTAGACGCACATATGTGCTGCAATTTATAAAACTAATCGATTACTTTGTGTTGAAAAGTACATTTCGGTAACTATTATAATTGCTTTGTGTAAGGTGCGGAAGGGATGTAGGGAAAAAATTTGTAAGAGTTGGTGTACATTATTAAGTGAACAATGTATTGCAAAAAATAAACATTGTTTGATAAGTATTTAATGAAATCTCTCAAGCATTAATAAAGCGTGAAGCCAATAAATTAACCTAAATAACGTATTACGAAAAGAATTAGTGACAAAATATTACAAATTTTATTATGTTGAAAAATAAAAAATTAATCGAATATCGTGTGTCTTTAAATTTAGCCAAGAAAACAAAAATATATTACAATTACTAAAAAATTTTCTTAACGAATAAATATTAATAATAATAGTATAATTTAGATAACTAAACCCATATCTAAAGATATTGTCTATTAAACCCGGACGGTATACACTCTAAACGCCTGTAATAAACAGGAGCGTCTGATTTTTCGAAAGCCATTGATGTACAATTGCAGTACAAAGTTCACAAGGTAAATAATTTTTAAATCTATATTAACTTAATATTAATAAAAATAAGTTGAAAGTATTAGTATCTGAGTGACTAATAATTTATATGAGACTACAGTTTGATTTGAATTTATCGTTAACAAATTTTGCTGAACGTTGATGCAATTCAGTGAGCTCTGAAAATTTAAGTAGAATTTTCAACTCGTCGCAAACAGGTATTCTTTAAGCTTCAGTTACTCCTTGTTAATTGTGCTTCATCCGTCTGTCTGTCCGTTGTTTGATACTTCCTAGATTAAATATCGAAGAACCTATGTTTATATATGTAGACACAATATACTACTTACAAACTAATTGTTGAAACTAGACTTTGTTTTTATAATTAGGTATACGTGTACAGTACATACGGACACATTGATGCATATTAAAACTAAACTTCTAAGTGAATCCAAGTTCTTTCTTGGACCACTGAAATTGGTTAAATCCTTTGGTTTGTCTTAAAATATAGTACAATTCTTTTATGTAAATAAATTACAAAATTTTCCTTATATAATATATAAATTGTACTTTAACAATATTAGTATCAGGTATAGCGGCTTCAATGGTTTCGATAAGATGTGCCCGATCTTTTTACTTATATCGGATATTTTCGTAATCATTTCGAAATATTAAAAAGTTATATGTGGTTAGTTAGAGTGCAGACGTTGCCTTAAACGCATGTCGATTTTTGGAATTTATACATTTAATTGACCTTTACATCCTAAAACAATTTCATAGAACATTTTCGCGATTTTAAAACGAACCTTAATCTGAACAAAAACGTACGTACTTAGTTTATAAATAATATATAATGTAGTGTATACTATATATATCAATCATTTTGGTGTTAATTGGTGTTTTCTGATTCGCGTATATTAAATATAAACGCAATGCATATTAAATGTGATTAAAAAAGCTTATAAGTATTATAAAGTAATCTAATCGTTTCGTTTTGAAACACGAATATAAACGTTAATATATATAAAATAAGAATTAATCTTATAAATTTAGTTAAAAATATTTAAGAATTTATAAATGAGCGTTCTAAAAGGCAAATTCTATACTGATTAGATATTCACACTTAAACTATAAAAATAAAATCCTATCAAAAATTTATGACTGTGTGGCACACAACTCCCATTAAGGATATTTGTGAAAATTTGTGAAAATAGAACAATTGTTTATTCCACTCATAGTAGTATTTGATTTATTTTTATTTAATATTAATTTTTTAATATCATATTATTTAATTTGTTATTTATTACTAACAATCCTAGAAATATTTAGGAATAAGAAAATATGTAGATAAAGTAATATAGATAAAAGAAAATTAAAGGAGAAGCGTATAAGACAATATTGACGATTCCAAGATACTTGTCGAGTTCGACGACCAAGTACCGTTCAACATTCCCAAAAGCTTCCAAGATTAACAAGCAGATCTTTCCGGGGGTGCAATAACAACAGCATACAGATCCGCCATGCCAGATTAATCAATTTCATAAAATTAAGATGCATAATTAGATCTTCATTAATGTGCGTATGTTTATAGGTTTTGTATAAATAAGGCATATGCTAGTTTCGATCTATTAGATCGCAATTACCCCGCTCATAATGAAGGTGGACAAAATGGGTATAGTATGTCTTTCTCTACTCAGTTACTATTCAGTTAATTTAATGTAATCAATTAAATTCAAATTAGTTAATTAGCTAATAAATAATATCAGAAGCATGTGTTACGAATATGTGGGCTTCAATCCATCGAAAATTAACCTTTTGCATTAAGAGAGAACCAAGTAGGTATATTTTTGTCTGCACTGCAACCAAATAATCCGATGTAAAGCATTTAACTCTCCATTGAATTTCGATTAGATCCATTTGAAATCTCTAAAAAAATTCATTTTAAATATATCCGAAAATTTGTAACTTAACAAATATGTAAAATAAGAAAGAAATTATATGAATATACGAAACCTGTGATCCATTCTTACTGCAAACAGATTACAGAATATACACACTGTTTTTCCAAAATAACTCTTAAATTCTACTTAATACTTAAAAAGATCTATTAAATTTTTCTATAATTAAAAGGTTTAATGTCTTATTAATGACATTTGCTATGCAGTTAAGCTAAACATTGGTTATGGGGAGCCGTACATCTATAATTTGTGTATCAACAGCAGTAAAACAATGAGTTTAATGCCTGTTTTAATTGTTCTATTAAATGTTATAAGATAGAATTATAATTAAATATTTGAACGTTTGAAAAACATAAGAAAATAATAATTAAAAACATTACTATGACTAATGTTAATTAAGTACTCTAATAGCTATAATAGGTAATTAATTTAATAGTAACAAATTAGTTAAACTATGTCTGCTTTTTTTTTATTATTAATTAACTGCGTATTATTGATTTTCTATCAATAGAACTTGACATAACAGAATATTAACAAAAAAAAAAAAAAAAATAAATACGAAAGCATGTTTATAGGGTCTTAAAAAAATTATAAAAAACCATATTTTTTTAATTACTTAATAAATATTTTTCAACAAAGTATACTCTTAAAGGGATATATTTGTTACAATGATTCTTCAACTTTTTTAAGCTATTCGATTAAGATGATTGACAAATCATCAGTTAAAATGTGTAGTCGATTTGCTGATCTCTGGTCTTGTGACGCTTTAAGGTTTGGGAATAGAACATGCGTGGAAGGTGTTGAAAAAGTCAAGAGAATATATGTATGTATATATTCTTTGGATTAATAATTCTTAACGAAATGAATATTTTATTATTCTTATTTTTTTATGAATTGGAGCTTATTTTTTTATCAATTGGGGCTTATTTTTTATGAAATAAGTTGAAATGTTCTAAAATATTGTATAGAAATCGACATTGGTCGTTTCTTTTCATAAAAGATAATGTATGTAAAGTATAGCATATGTGTCCTAAGAAAACAGTTGTTATTTCTAAAATCTACTTTACGGTATACCTTGAAGCTTATTTATTCTGTAAAATTCTTTTTTTTTATCCTTATTCTCGACTGTGCCGTATGACGCCCGATTTCGAAGCTGGTTTATCCTGTAAAGTTCTTTATTTGAAAATTATCATTCTTTTCGGGTCTGCTGTAATTGACCTGTATTTCGAAACTAGTTTATCCTGTGAATTTTTTTATTTTAAAATGATCATTCGTCACGCGTGTGCTGTAATAATCCCACATTTCGAAGCCGGTTTATTTTCTTAATTTTCTTTTGATTATTCTTCTTCACTGGTGTGCTGTAATAGGTCCATATTTTGTAGGTCCACATTTTCAGCTAAATTAGTTTAAGACGTTTTTAAGCGTCGTTTCAAAATCATTAAATAATCGCATTTATAGTTCACGGTGCGCGAACGTTATAACCATGATATGGACTGTGAATAAAAGATAAAAGATGAAATCTGATTAAAGATAGGAATACATTGACGTTGGGCTTCAACGCGTTTTTGCTCTTAAATTATAAAAATAATTAAAATTACGTTTAGCATATTTGAAAAGTATATAAATCTTATAGAGCAACGTTTAATCTTGAGCAGCACAATAGTATCATAGATTGAAGTTTAATATTGCATGATAACTTTTAATGATGCTGGTGTTGAAGTTGTTGGAAGAGCATTCCTCCATATGGTTTGGTTGTGTTTTAAAATTGATGAGTGTTGTTTTATAAATTTAAAAGACGAAAAACCATAACGGTCAGGATAAATGTTATTGTAATTTAATTCTAGACAAATTACTATTTAGTTTGACTTTAGATGTGATAGAACTGCTGCACTGTTAAATTGTCTTCTTCCCTTGGAATTATAAGAAAGAGTTGTGTTGAAAATGCCATATGGATGAAATTTTGAAGAAGATGACGCACAGGTGTTGAGAGCTGCTAGTCTTCAAAAATACTCAAACCTATTCTATTTGAATTAAAAATAAAATAAATAACGTGAAGATGCAGTTTTTTTTTTGCTGAAATTGAAAATTCGTTTAAAGAATAATAACACGCAATGATGGAACTAGAGTTTCTTTACAGAACCCCTAAGCTGATAAAAACGACTACGACAGTAATAATAATAAAATTATTTTATACTATTATTATCCTGTTGTTTTTGCTATATTAAATAATTTAAAATTGTCTTTAAAAGTAAAAAGAGTAAAAAACAATAGAAGTTGATTTTTTAAGGTACATCGCCAACACCCAGCTGTAAAATTCTTTGCCATGGTATCTGTTGAAGATCGCTTTAAAGCTGCCGTTAATGTTATCAAAGGCCTGCCAAAAAATGGTCCATATCAACCTAGCACTGCGATGATGCTCAAATTTTATGGTTATTATAAACAAGCAACCGAAGGGCCATGTCACCAGAAAAAGCCTGGCTTTTGGGATATCGTTGGCAAAGCGAAATGGGATGCTTGGAACGATAATCGTCACCTAACGAAAGAGGAAGCAATGAACAGATATGTTGATAGTTTACGCGAAATTATCGACACAATGTCCTTTACAGTAAACGTGCAGGATTTTGTAGGTAGTTTAAGCGACTTAGATAATATAAATTTGGATGAACTTGAAATGGTAGCACCAGGAATGCGGGAATTAGCTGAATCTCATCCAAATTCACCATTTAATTCACGTACAAATAGTCCACAACATGGCGTAAGCACAAATAGTGGTTCAACAAATGTAAGTTTATTTTATTATTTATTTATATAATTTTACTCATATGCATGTTTGATTTCAATAGCTAAACAATAATGCTGAGCCTACAGCAAATGGGCACGTAATGACATCCTATGCTTGTGAACCGAATAACAATGATATCATAGGCACTGATGCTACAGTTCCTCCTTTTTCAGTACAAAACCAGAGCGCTGTTACAGATACGAATATAATACCTTCAACATACACAAGCCCACTTGCATCCATTATCAATATGTCTAATGGTAACATTGATCAATCAGACGATGAATACGCTGATCCGCTGGATGTACAGAGTGAATTTGTAGAAGCAATGGCTCACAATTCCGAATTGCTTAAACAAATTCAATTGACTGTACAGCACATGAACTCAGATTTGGCAACAGTTAATCAGCGTGTAAGTGTTGTGGAAAAAACTCTACAGGACCTTAGTAAAGCAGTGCAAACCCTTTGTCGTAATGGTACGAGCCGCAGAGTTAGTAATACTTATCCTAAATGGTGGCCTTTCACTAACATTTCGCCCGCATGGTTTGCTTTTCTTATACTTTGGCCGTTCATCGTCAATCGCTTATCACATATTTTAGCAGTGGGACGACGAAAACGAGCTTAACTCTATCTTTTTTTTAGCGTTTATATGAAAGAAAATCGAGATGTTGATTAATTGATTGTAATGTATTCTTTCATGAACATCTTAATTGATTATATTCTTATTTATAAAGTAGTTGTTGGTATATAATTATTTATTTAATTTTTTTGTTTTTTTTTTTTTGTTGAAGGTAATTATTTGTGGTTTGGTTAAATATTTAATAATATTTTTAAGAAAACCTCTAAAATACGATTTTGATATGTTTTATACGTATTTAGTGTACAATGTCTTTATTTTTATAACAATATTTTTCGCTGAAATGTATGTACCTTTTTAGTGTTAGAGCTTTTTTGTGCGGATATTGGTTAATTAAGAATTTTAGCTAAACGTTATAAATACAGAGACTAAGTGAATTTGTGAACATTCCCAATTCGATTAAAATATCTGCTTTTGTGTAAAGTAATGTAAATTAATTCTATATATTTTTTGTTAAAAATTAGTCTAAAATGTTTAGAAGAAAATTATAACTTAAAATATACACTTTTTATTATTATATTAACTCTATTTTTTTTTAATAATTCGATAAACTTCGACATTGAGTGCAATTTCTTTCTTTCAGGAAAGAAAAAATATTTGAGCTGTGAAGTAAATCTAATGGTGTGGTCGAGATAAATGCAGAAGATCATATTTTTGTACTTTATCATAAGTATTCCCTTCGCAATGGGCTTTTATTCTACACAAACATTATTAGCAATGCCATGTTAATAAATGATCAATTAGGAACTTTTGTCATGAGCTTAACTTTGTAGTACACTAAAAAGATTGCACGTTTCTTAGCAAATCATCTTTCTCTATGTAAGTATTGGCCGATCTTGCTTGTAGTTGTAGCGCGCAGGATCTACTTGTGCAGTCTGTTTTGGGATTACACAGTATCAGTTTGCTTCGTTTTTCCTGATGATTTTCCTTAAAGCGTCTTTTTGTAGTCCTGTTTGAGAAAGTGAATGGCATTTAGTCGTCAAAAATGACGAGTGGTTCTAGAAAGTAGACCCAGCCGTTCTTGAAACCTCCATTAAATTTTGATTGCATTCGTTAAGCGCAGTTGACAAACTATTTCCTTTGTTTTTGTTATTTTTCGAAGTTTAAAATGAGCATTCCTATACAATTATTATATATACAGAGTTATACGTTTAATGGTATAACTTGAAACTAAACTTGAATTTTATTAATGTGATTGAGATTTTGTTAAAATTTTTATATAGAAGGTATTTAGAAGAGCACTTGCAATCAAGGGTGGGTTTATACATAATTTAGATGCTCAGATCACACAAATTAATTAAGCTTTATGTTCTGTATGTTCTATTACATAATCGAACATATTAGTATAGAGATAATTCTGTATAATTTGGTAAATCGTAGTAATATATAATGTAAGTCATATCGACCACAGAAATGAGTTAGCATTAAGTTTTAACTTCAAGTGCACTGCGAACATTCATATCGTGAGATCTATAACATACATGATCGCGCCGAATGTATTTTTTAACTCTTTGGGATGCAATGGTAGATCGCCTCCTCGTGGTGCATCCTGGGTAACGCTAATTGATCTACCTTTTTTAAAGCCCCTCTTATTCTAACTTCTTGCTCTAGATACGTACTTGGGGCGAGAATTGAGGTTGGCATGACCGGATTTGTTTTTTGGAAAACTCTCGACTTTCGACTTTTATACTTGTAACCTTGGGCTGACTGGTATGGTATTCTGTTACCTTAGTATGCAAGGGTGGAACCTTAGCAGAAATGGCTTTCAGGCTAATGCTATATCGGCCAAAGTTCCGTTAAAACCGTGGCGGGCCTCAATGTACGTTCTTATTTTCGTCACCATTAAGTTGGCGGTTTTAGTAATCAGTTGAGAAAACTCCTGATTTACACTGGATCTGGCTCTGAACACTTGACCTCATGAAGGCTGGTGTCAACCCTCGCATGGCCTCCCTGTTCTTACATAGATAACCATGGGATCCGAAAGTGGCTAAGCAACCGAATTTCAGATAGCGGCATTGAGTGGGAACTATGCACTAAAATGAATAATAAAAATTTAAAAAATACAAAATATTCTACTTTTACACAGGAGAGGGCACTAAACAACAAATGTTTTGAGTGCTCTACATCCTCAAACAAACGAACAGCTTCAATCTACACTCTTCCTGCGTCAAGGACTGTTAGTACTAAGGTAAACAAGCCGAGTACTAACTTCACTAACAGTACGTCCGAATTTGACACACTGCCCGATAAATCTAGTATAGTACCAAAGGTTGGTTCGATAGACTCGACATCTTATGATATATCATCCTCTTCAGGTGGCCGAGATCATATAAATAAATCGACAAGGGCGTACAGAATACGAAGATCTGCTTTCAGAATTCTTACTAAGTATAAAGACATTCCTGCAGACTTACTTACCGAAAAAGACAAGGCCTCTATCAAATGGGCTGAGCAAAATACTGACTTCCGCTTTCCGAATTCATCTTTATATGACCCCAACAAAAGACCTCAACAATCAGAAGAGTCTTTAAACAATGACGATGACACCAAACGATTAAAGTTGACTGCAACGACACCTTCAATCAGACACAGCAGCAACATTGAACATTTTTTAACTTGGGCGATCGTGGACTTTAGTAACCCCGATGGTGCTATATCTCCTAATAACTGGAGCAATGTAGAAATAGCTTTAATGAAATATTACAAAAAAGTTTTAGAGGAAAATCCCGGTCCTCCACCTTCATGTAGAGATGCTGGTTGGTATCAAAACCAAATTAAATTAATTGCTTGCTCTGACCAGCGTTCAACTGACCTTTATAAACTGGCTATTGCTAAGCTAGGTGAAATCTGGCCTGGGGCTGACCTCAAAATGGTGACTAAGGAAGAAATTCCAAATCGTCCAAAATTGAAAGGTTCCTTCCCAGCTGAGCCCTCAAAAGCAAAAGACATGTTAGAACTTATAAAAACTTGCAATCCAAACTTTCCAACAAAAGATTGGCAAGTGTTAGAGGTCAGTGAAGTCAATAATCACCTACGAGAAGTTGTTATCCTTGTTAATGCAGATGCACTTGCTCAATTAGCTTCAATTGATTATACATTGAATTATGGTTTTGGTTCCGTTTACTTAAGTGTTTATGAAGACGATCAAGCTATTCCTGAAGCTCTGGTGGAATCAGTTACACAACAGTCAGCCACTATAAACGTTAAGTTGGAGGCGTCCGATGATCAAATATTGGTTCCACAAAGTGCAGAACCCGATTATGAAGTTAATGATAACACCCAAACCACTACTTTAAGCACAAAGGCAGTGGATGAGAGTCGAAATATTTTAATCCTCAACGAAGGTGATTTGGAAGGTGATTTCCTATCAGGCCAGGAGGACTCTAAATTGAATATATTTAATGAACAACTAAATGGTGAAGCTAATTTAGATTAGTCTTCATTATAAACTACACTAATCCTTCGCCTGTCCCAACCCAATAATGATATGTGTCCAATAAATTTATAAGGTTTTATGAACACTCAGGTAAACCCAGAGCCTATATTTAATTTTAAAATACAATTAATATTCTAAAAATCTGTTTACAGTCACAAAGTCTAAGCATATAAGTAAACACACATTCCAAGTCTACCTGAACTGTGTTAAACTATTTAAGCTACGACGAACACTCTTTACAATCCAATGACGTCATACATAGCGATGCAAAACCTCATCATTAGGTCTAGGGCAGCTCGAACATATTAGTGTCGTGCATTGTCACGAGGTAAGTTACTTTTTAAATTATTATTAATATTAGTTAGTAATAGCAAATATAGATAATAAGCGCTTGTTCATCATGATAAACCGGTGAGAAGCCTTAGCTTTAACACTGGTTAGTGATAACTGTCAGCACTAGATTATTAATTGATGACGATCATAAATGCATAGCTTTATGTTGTTGCAATATGGTACATCTATGTCGCTATTTGAAACAGAAAAATGACTGTCTAGTGTATTAATAGATTAGGCTTCGGTATTAATGTTGCAGCAATCAATAGCATAATATAGCTTAACGATATCACTATTGCTCCTATGTATAACGTAGAAATTAAACAGAGCTAGAACTAGTTATAGTTGGATAGTTTTTAAATTCAACCTTCAAAGGTACGAATGTGTCGTTAAGAAAACAAAATAAACCTCATGAAAAAAATTCCTACATAATCTAACTTCGTGAGTTAAATCCTAAGATAGACAAGCCATCACTCTTAAGCAGTGGTTCCCAAGTTGTGGTGGTCCGCGAGTTGGTTAAAAATAATCCGTAAATCAAATTTATTACAGGTATGGATATATAGCTTGTAGTTGGTCCACTAAGACCTCACTTATTAGAAAATAAGCACAATTTCTAAGTAATTATATACCCATTTTATAGTCCATATTATGTACCAATGTACTTATACAATTTATTAAACATTATACCAGAGATGCATAAAGCATATTAAAATAATCATACAGTTTATTATTTATAAACTTTGTGATCCCCACTAAAAACAAAAATTTCATAGTGGTTCTTGGTCAAAAAAAAGTTTGAGAACCACTACTCTATATGTTCTAAAATATTCTTACTTTCCTGTTAAGTCAGATTATATTATGTGCGCTATCAATAAATACAACCTTATTTCAATCACTGATGACTAAATGTAGGCTCTCATAGTCTCTTCAATTTACCAGGTCTTAACCCTTTCATACCGGACGATCATCCAGAAACATCTAAAACCATCTTCATAGTTTAACTACTTGTAAAATGTTTTCTGGTAAGTGAATAAAGTTGAATACATATTGGGCTTTAATCATCATTCTTCTCTATTATAGACATCTGCCTTTTGTATACTTAGTAGTGATCTGCTAATTCATGGCGTATGTTAAGCATAGCGCTATACTTTCTTAATTCGAATAGAAGTTTCCCTTAAATATCATAGGAAACTTTACAACTTTATTGTTCATTACCTTATTTGTTTAAGTAACTTAAAGTCTAATAATAAAGTAATCGCTGTACTGCTTATATTAAACGAAAATACTCTGCATTGAATAGTTTTATTACAATATCATTTTGTATTTACATTATTAGCGACAATCACATAGACATTAAATGCCATATTGGTTGTATTTAAAATATCCAAGATTTTTCTGAAATCTTAGATATTGAACTGTTCAAAAAAGGTGTCGGTGTTTTCACTAAATCTTTTAGATGAACTGAGGATCATAATTCACTTCTTTAAGATATCAAATTGCTTACTAGTTTAAAGTAAGTCCACCTCAGAACGCACAGGAAGATATGCTGATCTACGGTCCATCATCAGTTAAAAGATAAATAAATGATGATAATTCTAGTATAGTTAAAGCTTAGTGTGGAGCTGAGATAAGCCCCCCAACCATAAAAGAGTAAAAATGCGCTACTTAGTCTTGTGCTGTCATCCTTCACGCTATACGGATTACCGATTCTGTTTAGAAGAAGATACATAGTGTTAAAGGCATTTTTCTTATTGACAACATTTTTGAAGGCGACAATGTCACATATAATTTATTTCCGCTTTAAGCTCGGTAATTTTAAATTTGTGGTATTTAGCATATCCCATGCGGAAAGATGTGGGAGATAAGGTCGTATTTATTTCTTAGGTATATTTATTTTCACTGTTTGCTAAATACTTAAAGTTGACGTTTTTTTATACAAAACTTGACTCACAGAAGAAAATATAAAATCTGAACATGGAATTAAATATATTTTTTTCTTGTAAAAGTTTTGACAATTGAACTAGTATATAAAAGTTTTAAGATAGAACGCATGGGAGCAGTGCTTGACGGAAAATTGGAAAAGCTTTTTGTAGAAAATGTTTGCAAGATAATAAGATGTTGATGTAAGAAAAAAGAATATAAAATTTTCAGAAATAGATTTTCCACGATAATAATCAAAAATTTGCCAGGAAAGACGTATACTGGATCACCTAAGTTTCCGAACCCATTCAAGTACAATAACATATTAGGTGTCAAATTAAAGGATATTTAAAATACTTAATTGAAATAAACTGTTTTTGAAACATAGAGAATTTTTTGGCTACATTATTTTTCTGTATGAAAATTTTATTATCACTTCTCTCTCATTCAATTTTTTTTCACTTCATCGACGAAACATAACCCTGTATAGATTTATGCAGACAGATAGATTTATATACAGGTATAGAACCCTGTATATAAATCTTCAAAAGCGTTGCACCCTAAATCAAGTCTTGGGCTATCCTAAGTCAAGTTTTGGGCTCTCCTAAGTCAAGTTTTTCTTTTTAGCAAATTTGTCTATTACTGCCCCTATTAAAGCAATGTAGATATGATGCTGGAAAAACAGTTATCAATGTCTTTAATCTAATCGTTCCGCTAAAGTAACTTTTTTGTTAGCTTGACTAAAACTGAATTGAAAGTGTCCAAACTAACCAAACCAAGCCAGTTATGCTGAGATATGTACTCTTAAGATAAATGTGGTGGAGTTTATCATATCTAGTTGATTTCGAACAGAGCAACCATAAGCGCAATTTTGTTTACATACTTTTGACACATGTTTGAAATATTCGTTGAAATTTCCAATAAAGGTTCAAAATACATGTTTTTTCTTTAGTGGCCAAAGTGTTTGGCCACTTCACAGCTAGGTGCTTAAACATAGGAAGTAGTGTTGTTGTTTTGCGTGTATTTAAGCAACTATAGGCCATTAATTTGCCGTTTTTTGTCACACTTGCGAGCTGCCGAAGGCACCTAATAATATTGCTCATTTAGCTCGCTTCGTTACAAAACTAAGTTAAAATTTCAATCCGATTCCATTAACATCTGATTGAATTTAATTTATACAAATTCAAGTAAAATTTAAATTCGTAATTCAGAATAGTATTGAATAGTAATAGATATTGTGAATAATTCTCATAAATTGAACAAAACGTAATAAAATATTGCTTTAACATTTGCCATTTTCATTTACGAACGCATTTACAAAAATATGAATAAGAGATAAAATTATGATTTGCTGTGTGAACAGTTTTTTTAAGTAAGCCTCACCTAACAAGTAAAATTTTTATTCGATTTACGATAACTTGTTCTGTGAATCGGTTTTTTAATGATTCGAACCACATAAACTAAATTTCAAACAAAATTACGATTCCATATGTTGTATAACAGACTTTATAATAAATAATTTATCGCTAATTTCAATTTTGCGATGTCACTTTCAAATATTTTACACCAACACTATAATAATATAGTATATATACAAATATAGAATTAAAATGTTTAATCAAATAATATATTTAACATAGCATGTACTTTATGTATATTTTCAGTTCAATAATAAATTTATACAAATTTTTTCAAAAGTCAAACTGTATGGCAACACTGTTACCCGGCTGTCATATTTGACTTTAAAACCAAACTTTTACAAACATTCTAAACGTTCGGCGAAGCATTTCGTGTTTTTTGGTAAGTGGAAGTTTTTTGTATTTTTCTAATAAAAAAGCAGAGTAAAAATAAGTTTTCGGTAATTAAAATTAATAATTAAACTGCAAACTAATAAAAACAATATGAACAGTCGTTAGTAAATTTCATTTTAATTTGTATAAGTTGTGATTTTGTTTACATCGCGCAACAAGTGTTGAATTTTTGCAATTTTGAAATTAATATATCAAACGTGAGAAAAAACTTAACACATTGAAGAAAATAATATAAACTTTTATTTTACGGTTCTTTGATTTATTCTAATTATTCTAAAGTATTTGTTTAAGAATTTCCAAATTGCAATTACTCTACGGACTACGTGCATTGCTGTGCAGTGAGTAATCACATTTAATTATCGAATAAAAACAGATCTTATTGCAGAAAACCATATTTTTCATTTAGCTTATGTCATGTTAAAAAAATATATATATACATACAACATCTTTACTTACTCAAATATATATATATTATCATTTTAGTGTCGCTAACATTTTAAATTGGTTAACTAACTATGGAGTCAGGAAAAGCACTTAATATTGGTGATACATTCCCAAACTTCCAGGCTGAAACTAGTACTGGTAAAATTGATTTTTATGATTGGATGGAAAAATCGTAAGTTAATTGAAGCAATGGAACTAAAATAGATATATACGCATATTTCTTTAAAAGGTGGGCAATACTTTTCTCACATCCTGCGGACTACACACCGGTTTGCACAACTGAATTATCTCGCGTTGCTGCTCTTTTACCTGAGTTCGCAAAACGTGATGTTAAACCAATTGCTCTTTCATGCGACAGCGCTGAATCGCACCTTGGTTGGATAGAAGACATTAAAGCATACGGAAGTAAAAGAAAAATGTTTACATTTTTAAAAATCATTTAAATATTTTATTTTATTTTAGAGTTAACATCTTTTGATTATCCTATTATTGCTGACAAGAAGCGTGAATTGGCTGTAAAGTTCAATATGTTGGACAAAGATGAGGTTAATATGGAAGGCATTCCATTAACTTGTCGTGCAGTTTTCATTATTGATAATAATAAGAAGTTGCGTTTGTCTTTATTGTATCCAGCAACAACCGGTCGTAATTTTGAGTATGTACACTTGTTTTTAATAATTTATATCTATATTATAAAACTATGATGACGGTAGATATTTCTGTTTGCTGTTTTGAAAATTTTGTATACACGATTTCAGTGATATTTGAGCTGTACTGCAATTATTAATATTAAACGTTTTTATTTTCTAGTGAAATTTTGCGCTGCATTGATTCATTAAAATTAACGCAGGAGAAATCTGTTGCTACTCCAGCAGACTGGAAAGTAAGTTCATTTACATTTTTATTTTAATTATTGTTTTTAATTATTTACTGTGTTTTACAGCAAGGAGATCCTTGCATGGTTTTGCCAACTGTTAAAACTGAAAACATTCCAAAACTATTTCCAGCAGGTGTCACAATTGTAACTGTTCCATCTGGTAAAGAGTATTTGCGTAAAACCCCACAACCTTAAATGTGTTTAAATTATATAAAAATTAATAACTTACTTAAATTTAACCAACTTTTACCATCTGTATTGAGTATATATGCTAAACTCTACAATCTTAAATATGTCAAATGATATGAAAATTCATAAATTTCTTACATTTAATCAACTGTTCCTTTCAGTACTTAGTATTAAATACTTAATTTATCAATAAATGAATATTTTATTTATATTAAATCTTTGATCTTTGTTTTTATTTTTTGATATATTTTTTAAAGTTCCATATTCATCAATACAAGCTCTCATCAGTTTTAGTTATTCAACTATGTCACTGATTGATCTTTTCAGTACTTACTTAGTATACTTTATATTAAATTTTAAAGTGGGCCCATTCGAGTTCAGCTCAACTATGTTACCGATTAACCCAATCTGCCCAATTCTTTTTAGTTTGATTGAGATATGTCCTAGTAGTCAAGTAAATGGTATTTATGGCTTCAATCGATTCTAAATACCACCTTTAAAGTGAGTATTTTGGCTTTTGAGCACATATGAATAGGAAAAAGACAGACTGGGCCATGTTAGGTAAGTACCTGACCACATTTATTAAGTTTTTTGCAAAGACTTGCTGCATTGCGATGGTCTTCTGCAATGATGCATTATTGTAGTGTAAAAATCATGAATTGGTCCTCCACAAACTTTGTCATTTTTTTCAGATTCTGACTCAAACATCTCATGACCATCACAAAATATTCCTGAGAGCAGTTTTTAAGCTTTCGTCTTGTTACCGAAGTGCCATTGCAACGATGGCTGGTGTATTAACATATCATACTTGTAAAGCTATATCTCGTCGGCAGTTATGATTCATTTTATGTAAATGAAGTCTGTGGAAGCACAGGAAATTATGTCAACAATTAAATGCAGTTGTTCTTTTAGACAAAATCTAACTTTTTCGGCATTAGTCGTGCGGCGACGTGTTGCGATCCCAATATATCAGTTATAATGGTTCAAAGACACTTATATGACATGTCTATTTGTTTCGTAGTATTCGGGCACCAAATTCAAAACCTAAAATTTTAATTATTGTTAACTTTCATATTATACAAGTATTAAAAAAATAAGTTTATTTTTTCATTGTTAAAATATTTAAAAGTGTCGGATGTTCCCAAGCACCAGAGTCTGAAAGTATTAGTAGGTGGATGTAGTGGAGTACACCCAAAGGTGAAAACAGTTAAAACGCCGAAACACCAATATACCAAAATGGTGATAATAGACTTCTTTATTCACCGAAATGGTGGTATTTAAAATCATTAGCATGGCCATTGCAGAACATATGGCGTCAAATCGCGTCAAGTCGGTATGCCTATATGTATCGAAAACATGGCTTGCTAACTCTGAAATCGAAAGAAGACTGCAATTATTTATCAATTGATGCCTGCGCATCATAATAGGCATATGGTGTTCTAGTTCGATTTCAAATGAAGAGTTATAGAGAATAACACATCAAACAAACGTAAACAACGAGATAAGAATAAAGAAGTATAGTTGGATTGGGCACACACTGCGTAAGCCTTATGAAGATATCGCGCATACTGCACTTACTTGGGACCCCCAGGGGACTAGGCGCAGAGGCAGACCAGCAAGGACGTAAGGAAGGACAGTTCAGCAGGAGACGAGTTGAGAGCAATAGCAGAAAATAGAAACCAAAAAATAAAATTTAAAATATAAAATTAGATATATAGCACGAAAGCATAAGCAGAGGACGAAGGACCTAGCAGTTCAGTTCCTTATTTTTAATTAACTTTAAAATTAATTTTAGTGTTAACTCATAAATAAATAATTTATTTTTTTAGAATTAACCAGCCACCCAGTAACCGAACTTGTGTTGTATTTTTATTTTTTAGTAGACTTACATCTACATATATATGTATGTATACCTTTCAATCAAGATTAGGAAGAACTCGATATTCAAAAACAATCTTAAAAAAAGTATAACATATGTAAAGGCTTCATACAAGTTTTGCTATTCAAGTATTATATTATTCTACATAAAAACACGCATACAAAATATTAATAATACATATATTGTGTTTTTTAATTAAGTAATTGTTTGTAGTAATTGTTTAAAAAAAAAGTAGGATTTCATTGATTAATTTATATTAATTAATTTGATTTTTCAATCATTTGAAATTTGATAATAAATTTCAAAACCTCATTAAAGGTTTGCTATAAAAAAATACTTGATTCCAGCGGGTCGGAATCCTCGTAAGGTAGATTGAACGAAATTTTATAATCTTATAGAAAGTAAGAAATTTTTCTTCTTGTAGAAAATTATTTTTGATTTTTCAAAATTATGTTACATTATTTAAGCGTTATACTTGAAAATATATGTATAAGTTTTACTACTAACTCTACCTAAAATTTTATCAATTTATTTTATAACTAATTTTCGAAATAAAAATATAAATAATATTATATACGCAATGATAATCCCTAATATTTTTTACTATTCATTAATAAAGAATTTGTATTATCATCGCTTAAGTATTGTTGCGGAAATATGCATATAGTGTGTGAAGAATAATATTCAACATTATAAATAAATAAATTTTTAAATGAACTACATGAACAAAATTATTGATAAACTCTCATAGTACCAGAATATAAAAATATATGTGATTTTATTTGCAACTATTAAAAATGTCACATTTTTATATACGTACATATACATTTTTAGAGAAGATTTACAATAAAAAATATATATGTGGAAAAAGTTGCATTTATTTAGTAAGTTATATTATATATTTAATTTAATTCAGAATAAAGGATACAATGTATGTCCACCACTGTTGACATTTCAGCGATTACTATATTTTATACTAATGTTTGTAGAATATTATTATGACAGTGAATGTTGTGTAATAGCAATTCCCATCATACCAAGTCAGCAAGCAAGTATGATGTGTAATACCCGTGTTTGCTACATAGCCAATATAGTATTGCCACACAATAGTGTTTTTTGCCATACTTGTGAGCCACCGAGAACGCCTAATACTAAATTTGAGTACCAATCGACTCATTGCCTATCAGTAGACATTTTATAATAGCCACTTATATATGGATAACTGTTTGCAAAAACCCTTTTTTCGTAAATAAAAACTTATTTTTATTGCATCTAGTAGAGCACATATATCATAGCTGGCTATAGAACTTCCATTTCAATTGTAAAAAAAATTTTTTATTAAACGCTATGTTTATTACTAAAATTGATGTTAAACTGGTCGATTTAAATAACAGCTTTTATGATCAAAATATGTTAACATTAGCGTTAAAATGACAGTAACATAAAAAATTTTGACCAATTTCTGAATTTGAAATAATTTTTGTCTGGCATCCCCATTATGAAAGCTTAAAGTAGTTCGTCTTTCTATCTCTTGTTTACATATTTTATAAGTTGTATAAAAAATACCATCGTTTATTCTTTTTATTTTGCTCTTGCCGGTTCTAATTATATATTTAATCGTTGTAATAATTACAAAATTAAGAAATTGTACTTGCTGAAAATGATCTGGCTTTTAAAACTACAACTAAATAGCTGAACTCTACACCAGGACTTTGCATAACATTGCAATTGTGTTTTTATTAGGTAAATAAAATATATTTGTGAAATGTATTCATTAATAATGTAAGTGAGATGCTAAATTATGAAAAAGCATGGATCAACATATATATGTACATATGTCAGCCAACAACTTTCTCTTTTGTTCCGCTCACTCATGTATCGATGTCAAACATTAGATAATTTATGCTGATAACAGAGTTCTTGAATTTGCTAAATCAGATTGGTTCCACAGTTCGGTGGGAACGTTTCGATTTTGCTGTCAACAGGTGTGGTTAAATCTAGTTAATGTATTTACCGTTTTAAATGCAAGTAATTTGTGAGTGTGATTGTGTGTGTATTATAATAAAAAATGAAATGAACCCGTCTCGATTTCAGTGTTAGTGGCTAATTGTTTATGTCAAAATATTTAAGATGTTTCTTAAAAGTCGATGTGTATTTCCTTGTATATGACATTGCTTTTATTTATCTATGAGATAAATTTATTCATTTCGTGTTTGATTTCATTGGCAGTCTGATTAGAAAAACTAGACTGGAACAGGTTCAGCAATCAACAATTTAATGCTACTTATTGTGTCTACAATATTTAATTTTGTCGATGTGTTTTGAGATTAACCTAATCAGTTCTGTTTTTATTTAGGTAAAGCATATCGTAGATCTGCTGGTGCAAAGACCAAAGTTCAGCAAACACTGACACCAAACATTTTGGCTACGAGTAGTTGCCAGTGCAAGTTTTTTTACAAAAAATATACGATCAAAAAGGTTCAGCAGTCCCTAAAATAAAATTCTTACAATGTGACAGTTGCAAGATCGTTTTTAATTTTAATTTTTAATAAATTTTGTGTTTCAGTTTCAGATTGGTGCATGCAAATAATATTTATCACTAGCAGCAAAAAGTCTAGTTAATTAATACATTTCTTAACCCATCTATGTACCATAATCGGTTCAACTAAAAGTAGTCAAAGCGAAGCTATTAAGCTACTAATTTTATCATTGGTACTAAAAGAGACTCATAGTTTGAAAAATAAATGTGTTGTTGTGGTTGCTATTGTTGTTGTACCCTATACTTTCTATATAAATACTAGGTCTCTGACTTGGTAGTTTATGTGAATGAGTGGCTCAGCCACGTAGATTCGATCAGTTTTAAAAAATTAATGATTTAGCATATTTAGTAAATATGTAAAAAAGACGATATTATTAAATTGCAAAAATTTAACTGCTGTTGTTGTTGTAGGCCGCAAAAATCTACAAAAAGTAGATAAAATTAAAGAAATTACATAGACATATACATGGGTTAGGATGTGGATAGGTGATGGTGATGGTCGATCTGTCAAATTTTGTAGCCAAATGGAACATTTTTAGAATAATCTAAAATTTTAATAGTTATGTTAGTAAATAAAGTAATTGAATTAATGTGTCACACTAACTTTTTTTCTGTTTAGCTATACACAACATTTACCCTAAAATTTTCAACTCTAGATTGGAAAATCTATCTTCTTCTGTATTTGCACCCAAATGTGATATTATTTTGATTTTATATCTTTTTTCAAAATGACGGTCAAATACAAACAATCAAATTGTGAAATTGTGGAAACATATCACACTTTTTTATCTGTTAAATCATATAAAACAGCTGTTAATTTCAGGGTAATCTTGCTACTTTATCAAAATATAGAGAATGAATTTCGAGTGTTACACATTTTGCCCCAGATTTACCAATCGAAAATGAAAATTGCACTAAAAGTGAATATTTATTAAAAAAGTTACCTCAGATTTACAAATTGAAAACGTCATATGATTGTAATTAAAGTAGGATGTTGTGGTAATTATGGTAGGAATCAAACTTAATCCGTACTTAAGTTTAGAAAACTTACCTCAGTGGAACCAAGTCATAAAATCAATACGGGTGAATTTGTCGTGTTTAGAACAACAAGATTTGCTTTCTCTATACTTATGCAAAAATAAAGTTGGATATTGTATCTTTATCTTTTTATCTTTTTAAAATTTAAAAATAACCGTTAAATCTGGATTTGTTTTTGTGATGTTAAACTAACAATCCATAGTCATAGAAATGTTCCGGTAGCCGCATTTAAGTCACTGAACTATTTGTTATGAACCTCAACTAAGACGAGCATAACTCAATAGTTGAACTTTCATAATAACAACAATTTCAGATAAATTTCTATGATTTGACTATAATAGTGATTTTAATTTGATTTGATGCTGATTAAATTTATATTAATAAGTAAAAAAATTTGTTAATCCAGACTTGCGCAACTCTACACTCGGTGAATTGTTATAATAACAGTGGGATTGATGTGAAACAAACTTCTAAATGATTGGAAATGACCTATCATTGTGTCTTCAATTGATTTGATACTGACAAAATTTATATTATTAGGTTAAATATTTGATAATCCAGATCTGCTTATGTTGTTCATGCTGTTGTAGCTCGCGTGGAATGTATAGTCTCTTTAGGGGGTGGTAAACGGCACTTAGTGGTCGAAATTGACGAGTGGCTCTGGGACGTAGACCCATCCGTTCATGAAACCTTTTTTCTATCCGCTCATCTTTATAGTCGATGAACTACTATAATAGCAACGTGATTTATTTGAGATAATGTTTTTTTATGAAGTTTCATTTGCACTGATATTGACATTTTATATTGATAAGATAAAATATAGTATTAAATAATTAAATTATTCAAAGAGAGAAATGAATTCTAAAGAAATCCTTATGCATTTGTTTGAAGCACCTGTATCTACATTTGTATTCATTATATTACGTTGTCTAAAAATTTTAAATAGCAATTTTCTTTTATTTTAGTTAACATTTACAAGTACTCAAAAGTCCAATAATATATAACATGTCTGACGCACCAGTACAAGAACGCAAAGCGAATCCGATTAAGTCATTTCTCAGTGGTGGCTTCGGTGGCATATGCAATGTTTTATCAGGACATCCATTGGATACGATAAAAGTAATAAAAAAGATATATATAATCACAACATTGGTGTATTTCAAAACATTTTTCATTTTAAGGTGCGGTTACAGACAATGCCAACACCTAAACCTGGAGAAGCTCCATTGTATAGAGGAACATTTGATTGTGCGGCAAAAACAATTAAAAATGAGGGAGTACGTGGCCTTTATAAGGGTATAACTGCACCGCTCACAGGTGTTGCGCCTATATTTGCCATGTGTTTTGCTGGTTATGCGCTCGGAAAACGTATTCAACAGACTGGTGATAATACGAAATTGACATATACTCAAATATTCGTTGCCGGTGGATTTTCGGGATTATTTTCTACTTGTATTATGGCACCCGGTGAGCGCATTAAATGCTTGCTTCAAGTACAGCAGGCATCTGGCGGTGAACGTAAATATCATGGTATGGTGGATTGTGCTATCAAACTATACAAAGAAGGTGGCATTCGTAGTATATTCAAAGGAAGTTGTGCAACAATGCTCAGAGGTAAGTATAGCTCCAATCTGTGTGAATATTTTTCATTTATAATTTTATTGTTTATTTTTTATAATTGTGTGGTTGTCTTTTATTTTGTTGTTCGTTCTAAACTCAGTCTAGACATTAAGATTATAAAATTTAAAAATAAGCTTGTTATTTTTAATAGAAATTATGTTAAGCAAACTATTTTGAAACGTATAATACTCAAGTTTAAATTTCATTTGATATATGTACATCTTCTGAGGCTGTTGCTGCTGATTTAACTAATTTGTGTCTATTGTGTGCAATTTTTTTTTGCTCTTGTTTTAGAACATAATCTAAACTGTTTTTATGTGAAGCCATTGTGCGCTGAATTTTTTGTTTGTTTTCGATTTGCCATTTTAAACGATTACTGCTATGTGGATCACCAGCTGAAATTTCCGTGCCCTCAATGAAATAATTTAAATCGGTAATATTTCTCTGCGGTGTTACTTTTGTTAGTTTTCGATTTGTCCGCCGGGTGTGTACTACACGACCAGCGTTACATTGAAGCTGCTTGCGCAATACGTAAAATACACTTCTGCCATTAAAGTTCTTACAACGTGGTGCATAATGTATATTTAACTCGTAACTATCCACACTGCGACAGCTTATTTTCTTTCCTGTCATAAAATCGGTAACGCATCGGTTAACAAGCGATCCAGTTTCCCGATTTATTGTTTTCGAACGCCAATTTCTCATAGCACAGCTGCATTTCCAAGGGTTATCGTGAAGTCTTGCTAAACGCAGTTTTGGTAACTGGAAAACTGTTGTGGGCAAAGTTAACAATTGATTGTGCTGTAAAAATATTTCTTCAAGTAAAGACTGGTCATCAAATAATCCAGGTGGAATGTAGCTAAGGTTGTTGTGCGCCATATTTATCATTTTTAATTTTTTGCAACCAATAAATGCGTCCATTGAAAGATCTTGTATTTGGCAGTAGCTTATATCAAGTTCTCTCAATTCCGTAACAGCTGCGAACGCGTCAAATTCTATGTTACGTATATTACCCCTTAGCTGCAATTTCTCTAATGATTGCAATCCCTAGAAGAAGAATAACATATAATACAACAATATATTTTAACATTTTGTAAATACCTTAAAAACATTATGGTCCAGGCTATTTATGCTCATATTTCCAATTACTAATTCCTTCAGTTCAACCAACGACTCAAAAGGCATGTTGATCATTATTTCTATAGATTGTTCAGATGATCCAAAATCCATTAAACGAGTTTTATTCATTACCCAAAAAGTTGCTGGAAATATATATTTAATTGGATTGTTGCGGAAGTCAACGAGCTCTAGTTTAGGGAACGGTGGAAAACTTAGTTCACTCAATTTGCTTAATTTGTTGTTGTTTAAATCTAATAATTTTAATTCAAGTAAACCAGCAAGTGCGCGATAATGCAAATCATGTATATGGTTGTGCGCCAATGATAACGTTTTGATATTTCTTGCCCCATATAAAGCAAACGGCGGAATTATTTCAATATTATTACGCTCAAGCGATAAATGTTCTAATGACTCCAAACCATCAAACATTTCCCAACGTAGTTTACTTAGATGGCACGAATGAATACGCAGAACTTCTAAATGATCCCAACCATAAAAGCTTACTCTACGCGATTTTTCAACTTCCAATAGGTAGTCTTCATATGCAATAATTTTAAGAGTGTCTTCAGCCTTATCAAATATTTCGTTTGAAGCATCAAAGAGTTCATAATGTAACAATTTATTACTGTTTTCAGGCTTCGTGTCGTCCATTTCCCGTAAACTGCGAAATTCACTTTTCGGTTTATAATCAAAATTATCACTTGGATGTACCGAATTTTTCGGTCGTCTTGAGTTTTCACTACCCGATAGCATAATAGATTCGAAATTTGCGTGTTGTAAAAAACTTAGTGGCTCATCGAATATAAGCTTAAATGTATAATCTTCGGTGCCACGGATTTCTAATGTTGTAAGTTGATTTAAGGGCTTCAATACACTTGTATTTACTTTCAATGGATGGAAAACAGAAATAGTATGTTAAATATAATACCAATATTATTGAATATTTGAGTTATACAAATATTATTTTTTTATGAAAAGTATTGGATATATGTGAAATATTGTTGTGACAATTCGCTTCCTCACCTGATTTATTGCGTCCAATTCCGGTATATAATAAAATTAATGCTTGCAAGTCATGCGGCAGACTATTGACTAATACAGCAGGGTCATCGTCAACCTGTAGTATACAAGTTGCTTGCTTTATATATGGATTGAACAAAAAGTTTTCGTCAACATCATACAGTGCTTCATTGTTGTTGATTAGCTCCTCTAAAGATTCTTCAAATGAACTTAAGCTACTACGTCGCGGTTCGCGCTTTTGCAAATAATCTATCCAACGTGATATAGGCAAGTCCATAAAATGTGCATACTGGCAAACGCAACCGATCGGACATTTCAGTGTATCAATTTCTAGTTCAGCTGATTTGGTTTCCAGTGTAGGCTCAACTATATTGCCAGCAAAGTTTTTGACTACTTTTTGTTGGTTACCATTAGCATTGCCGGTATACTTATTGTTGTGTATGGAGCTCAACTGTCGGGTAGTACCATTTTGCTTTAATTGGAGATACGAAAAATGTATAATAAATTCTAAAATTGTTGTATTATATTTATTTGAAAAAAAAGGAAAGAAAATAGTGCATAAGAAATTTGTATGTCGAATAGATATAAACAAGTTAAATCAAGCTTTATACAAGCTTCTGTACAATAGAGCCTTGCTATATAACAGTTTAGAAGAATATATGTACTTCGTACTTTGTAATAAACTGAATGGAAATAATAATTTTGATTCTATAAACTCGATTTTGTTTGCTTTATAAACACATGCAATCAAGCTCAATTCATGTACACACATTTTCAATTTGCGCAATTCATCAAGTGTAGCCAAGCACAAAAATTAATCCAGCAAGACTAATTCCCAAAAATGTGCGGTGTGTCAATGAAACTAAATAGTTTTCTTTTTGTAAGCTGGATATTTTAAATTAATATAAATTATATTAACGATTCAAATTATTTATTGCCAGGCACACAAAACTGATTCTTTTAATTAAAACCGATTTTTTTAAACACTTTTAAAACAATTTTTAGAATTGCTATCGTTTTAAAATGCTGTTAAGGCAGGATGAAGGTGATTGAAGCAAATGATCAAATAAATATTTTTTCGTTTTTTCTTCTTACACACAAAATTTCACACACACAATTAAGCATAGTTCATCTATACGAATTTACAACTTGCAAACTTTATTGAGGTCTCAAGCAAAATCCCATAAATAATAATCCAGTGTGTTCAGCGCTACTGCAATGTCACATAGTGCCTGGACACACTAGACTAATATCCTTGATAGTTTAGTACATTTGTAGATTTGTAGACACAAGTGTAAGAATTTAATTTAGTGAAGTATGAAGTAAAAATCAATCCATCAAGATTAAAAATTAATTTAGTGTGTCCAGGCACATAGACGCGAACCACAATATACAGTACCGGTTAAAAAATATGGGATGCATAGTTTGTATGGTTTAAATCGGTTGAGTTTCCAAAAGCGAAACTTTGCATTGATAATCTATATTATTAATACACATAACAATATTTTATTGTACAACAAACTAATATGGTTGACTGAAAGTAGATCCTTGCTGTACATAGTAGCGTAGATGGAGTACAAAAGGTACTGATTTTTGTCAGTCGGGCTATTCCTTTGTGAAGTAGATACTTCGTACTTAGAAAATGGCTTCGCATATGTATACATTGTATGGTTAGGAAGTATATACCATAGTTGTGTGCGCGTTCGTAAGGTCGATAGAAAATCAAACGATTTTACTAAAATGAAGTAAAGACTTGTTGTATAATAGATCATATTTTGGTTTTAGTTAGAGTAGATCCCTGTTGTACAAAAGGTTAGAACATGTGGACCTTGTATAATTCTTACATTTAATAAAGCAAATTAGAATTAAATTTTTTGTTTAGAAAAATATAATTAAAATATAAATTTTACTTTTTTGGTGAAAGTATTTTGATTAATTTTAATAAAAACCCCTTTTTTATTTTAAAGTTTTTATGCATATAAACTATTTAATTTTATTCAACATGATATGTGCTTTACTCACAATTAAAAATATAACAAATAATATTGAAATTAATTGCATTTTGTCATATATATAAAATTAATAATCATGTAGATTCGCAGATATTAATCCTGGTTTTTTATTTCTGTGGTGTGAGTCAAACTAGCATTTATTTGTAAATGTTTTAATGCATTTTTTTTATATTTTTTTTGTTTTTTATATTATTATTATTTTTTAGTTTTTATTAAAAGATGCAAATTTTTGTATTCGTGTATCTTTTATAATTTTTTTTTATTTTGTTTGCTGGGTAAATTTTTGAAACAAAGTGTGCTTGCGAGTTTGAAAGCCGACGTACTACTACGGACCATAAAAATATATTTATTTTTTTTCTAAAATTAATGCATGTATGTTTAATTCAACATAATTAAAAGATAAAGTATAGAGAACGTTATATGTACTCGCATGTTTTTGTTTGAAATGCTGAGGAAGTGACGAAGTAAAGGATGTGCTTATCATTTCTTGGATTTTTATTATTTTTTTTTTTAAGTTAAAGAAATGTTTTGTTAATGTTTATGGTGCATTCATTGATTCTGTTTATATGGATTTACATATAAAAAAAACTTATTTATACGAACACTAGTATATGTATATATTACTCTGCCTAGGAATTATTTAGTAGCAAAATATAGTAAACATATGTAGTATGTGTTGTAACATTTTAAAGCTAAACGATATTCTGTTATGTGAACATTATTTGATAAAGTATAATCATAAAATTAATAAATTAACAAAAAAAAAACAAATACATATATTTCGTTATTTAAGGAATTATAACATTGTATATTTTGATTATTTAGTTATCTAAAAAATCTAATGCGATCGTCTAACTAATTTATCTAATTTAAATATCTCAGAAAACATTTTTGTTAATTTTTTTAAGTTAAAATATATACAAATAATTTGATATGTTGCTAAAATTTATATTATAACTTTTTGTTATATATAAAATCAATGCTAGTATAGAATTGGAAACAATAATTTATATTATTTCTGATAAAAACTTACTTTGTAAGGTATTGTGTTATTTAACACAATATTTTATATTTTTACCCATTATAAAATGTTAGTAGTTAATGTTTCATTATTAATTTATGTACAAATTCAAAATCAAATAGCCCCCTAAAAGATAACATAGATCCCACTCGTTATCAAGTCCAATGAACAATCTGAATGTGGAAGAAACTACTGGACCAGACAATCAAGTGTAAATAGTTTTTTAGTTTAAGTATTAAAAGTTTTAAATTTTTTTTATTTAAATTTTATCATAATATCATAATAAATGTCCATAAAAATTTAATTTTATATAGCTCCCATGACCAATATGGAGACTTGTGAGGTGTACTCCAATTCACTTAAATGAAACCGAGTTTTATAATATTTTTTGCAGAGTTCGGTCAAATTTTAGGATTTAAATGTTCAGCTGGTTGAATAGGTGATTATAGCAATAGATGTAAAAATTCTTTGTTTGTTTTTTTTTCTAGTAATACAACCAGTCATCTAGTCATTTTTTAAACTCATACAACCAGATATAAATTTTGCAGATTGAGAATAGGTATATATCAATTTCTGTTGTTTTGTTTGGAGTGGAATCTTCTATACAATTGATACTGTTCGCTACCATCCTCTTTTAAGTTGATGCAAATACGATACTCTTGCATATGCCAAACTTGGGAGATACTACGAATTAAACCCCTCTATTTTATTGTTGTTCTTAAGAAACTATTTCACGATTTTCGCGGAATGAATGATAATGAATTATCATTAATTTTCCTTAAATATTAATGTTTATCGCATCTCATTTATCACTGCGATAATATGTTTTACTTGTTCTCAGGCGTCTATAGAAGAAAATTTGTGTTATACAACTCTAGTGTATGTAATATAGTCACCTATTCCTAATACTTCTCTGGCTTAACTAAATAGTATGCAGACCATTCCAACCTTTCTAACGCAATATGCAAGCAAAAATACCATAAGTATGGATGTGCTTGTAATTGAATAGATGAATTCCTAAAGCAATTTCTTGTGGTTTACTTAGATCGAGGTATCTTAAACCTTATATAATTTTCACTAATTTTAGTCTCATGAGGCTTGTTGATATTATTATATTTCATATACTATTTCTAGTTCAATATTGATTGATACAAAGATATATTGTTGGTTCTAACTGCTGTACTGTAGCAATATTTACATGTGTTGGAAGGCCACAATTGTCTGAATTCTAATTTAATAGATCTGCAAATGTATAACAATACATTAGTAATATTTAATTATTATATTATAAAATTACATTTCACTGTAGTTATAATTTTAAATTTATATAATTTATACCTGCGTTATATTATATCGCGATGATATCACTATATTTAGCTTAATCTCTCATTTCTGTTTCTATTTCTTGTCATCGCTCTCCAGTTGTTTCTCCGTTTATCCATTTGTACTTGCAGTTTTCTTCTCTGTGGTCTTAAAACTTCGTTTTTAAATACTATTTGCAGCTTTCTTTTTTTAGATAGTCTTAATATATCTGGTTACAAATGTGGTTTTTGTTATAATAGCTTTAATATTTTTTATTAGTTGGTTCATCAGTTTCTTATATACTCTAAAATTGATTTAGATGACCTTAGTTTTAAATATTGTTAACCTGTCAGCTTTCTTTCCTCTCATAAGCTCGTATAAACCTATAGGTTGTAGTATATACATATATAGATTAGCAGCTTATTGCAGAAAGATACCTAAGTCTCTTCTGTGAAATGTTCTAATTAGAAGTAAAATTAGTAAATTTAACTTTCTGCGAAGAAAGGTGTAGTGTGTAAAAAAACTTTCCTTAAAGCTCATAATACTATAAAAACTTCATGGGCTCTTGGTCCGAGTAATTTTGATTTCTTAGTTTAATCTTTATAATCGGAGTTTTGGAGTATAATATCATATTATTGCAGCTTGCATTTTCCGGAATTTATTTCGCTAAGTGACGACATCCAAACCACCTATAGATTATTATCTTTTGTAAGGTGATAAACGAAATTGTAGTTTTTATTGTTTTTTAAGTAGTTAAATTTTATGGTTTGTTTTTTAAAAATCTTGTAATAACGAGTGTCTGTTTCTTAATAGCATTGCTGAAATATATACGGTAGTTCCTTTTTGAATAATGTTCTCAATGTTAGAAACTTCGTGGGTCAATATGATAATCACAGTCAGAAGAATATATTTAGTGGACCAATTATTATTCCAATCATTATTGAAATGTTCAATGTTCTTTATTTCGCTTTGCTTCAGTGTTTGCTTTGATCTGTTTAAATCTTAGGTCTATCAATTTTCGTCTTACATCAATTAATTGGTTTAATTCTGTGTAAAATCGGTATTTTTTTTGTAGGTCGTGATATGACATATCATTGATAAATAATACCTGCTACTTCCCGAATGCATATTAATATTTTTCCAGTATTTCTTCAGCTAGCGTTTACATTTTATCTGAAAATATTTATTTAGAATATAATAAGCTACATCCAAAAAAGTCATTACCCTATAGTTATTATAGTAAATTTTTTTTCTGTTATTTTGTATGTATTAGACACATAATACCAGAATTCCGTTCTTTATCTTATACTCTACATAAGTAACGAGCGTTTTAGAACTGCGCGTGCTTTATCTTTTTTATCATGTTGGGTTTCTTTTCATAAATTGGTTCTGTTAGTAACGTTTATGTTACCTATCAGGCAACTACAATGCTTAATTTGTGTTCACCGAGCAAACGAGAAAGATATATATATATAGTACAAAATGTTGGATCAAATTTTATGTTAAAAACGAAATTCAGTGCAGCGAACTATTTAAAATAATAAGAAGGCAACGATAGTGTAAATGCCACAAAAGATTTCAGTAAGATTTAAAAGACATGAGAATGAAGCAGGTCTTCTCGTCTGCTATATAATAAAATCGTGGAAAAATTATAGTACAATAAAAAGATTGTGGTTGATTTAAATATCATTAGTTAAAACTAAATATCTTTACATAGGTTGCTGCAGAAATCAAATTGTTGTGAAGCACAATTGTAAAGCGATTTTTACGAATATTTTGGACATAAAACGTCCGGCTATAGACAATTTTTTGCTAATATAATAGTTTGTTGCGAAACATAATATAACTGTACTGCCGCAATCATCCTTTTTCAGATAAAATATTTAACGAGTGAAGAAAATAAAAGTGAAGTTACAGAGCGTGTCCAAAGCGTTTCAACAGAGTTTTTCTACGATTGCATAATATTGAAGAGGGTCTACTTATTTTGTAGAAGATAGAATATTTGTATACATTGAAGAAATAAATGAAGTTTTTGAAAAACTAAAAATTCCCATTACTCTTTTATCGCATCTCGTATTATTTGCTCTGTGGTATAGCATACAGTATGATCATCATATCTGATCAATTCCACTGCTATTGTATCTTCATCTGTAGTTATGTAATTTTAAAATTTTTGTAAAGCTTTTACATCATAATTAGGTAACAGTATAAAAGGATAAGCCACGGATATTCATTACTCCTCATATTGTTAACAGTTGAATAACTCTTTAGAACATATTCTGCACGGAGTCAATATTTAATACTCAGTTAGTTAAATATCCTATCGATATTTTTTTTTTTTGAGTCTTGGTTTACATTCTAGTCAATATATCATATTAAAACATTCTCTAATTGCTTTTCGATTATTATAATATTTTCAGTTTTAATATGTTACATTGTTATTGTGTTATTCCATTTTTATAGTATAGTATTATATTATTATGTTGAGGCTAGTTGAGTCAGTGAACTTGAGCACTTTTACTCTCTATTAACTGCAAGGTTTCTTCATAACCCCTCTCGCTTTGACTGGATTATTGACTGAAATTTATCACTTCCTCAGACTAAGTCAGAATTGACGATAGATCTGCATACCTTGTAACCATTCTGAGATTCGATAACGCGGTGTTGTTAAGCCTGTCAGTTTTCGTAAATAATTTCAGGGCTCTATCCTTTATATATTTTTTGATTGCATTATAAAATTAAATATCAATAATAATAATAATAATTGCATGTATTATTATAAATAATAATTTTTTTTATATATTTTATATATATATTAAAATTAAACGTTTGTTTAATATTGTTTAATATATTCTATATTTTGACTCTCCTTGAAAGTCATCATCAGGATCAGGATCTAACATCAATTAATATTAATTAATATTAGCTTTGCTTATATTTTATAATTTGTATAATAAAAGGTTGCATATGTTTTTATTAATTTTTTTTTTACTAATTGTGCTTGTTTAAATTGCATCATAAAATTAACAATTTCATCAAAACCTTTCCAGATTTTATTTCAAAATTCCCTCATCTCATATAAAATGCAAAAAGCTATCATGGGTTGATAACAAATTGAGTTCAAAGTTGAATTCAGATATATATAATCCAGTATATAAATATATTTAAAGATATACCCGCAAACGGCATTTATTTCCTTGTATATGAGTACTTACAAGCCAAGGCAAAGGAAAAGTCGGGCAGCGAACATGTAAGCATGAGTTCAACATTGTTTGCTGGTGGATTTGCTGGTATTTCATACTGGATTTTGGGTATGCCAGCTGATGTGCTTAAGAGTAGACTGCAAACCGGTAAGTATTCTACTATATATAAAAGTAGAATAAGTGATTTTTATTAATCAATACGTTTGTGTCTTTCAGCTCCTGAGGGAAAATATAAACATGGTGTACGTAGTGTTTTTAAGGAACTTATTGTCAAGGATGGTCCATTAGCTTTGTATCGCGGTGTGACACCGATTATGTTACGTGCCTTCCCCGCCAATGCTGCCTGTTTCTTTGGTATTGAATTAGCTAATAAGTTCTTTAGATCTGTGGCACCAAATTTCTAGTTTAAAGTAATACAGTTCATACAATTTAAGGCGATGATATAGAGCTTAGATTTTTTGAAGAATTTTAATTACTTTTATTATAAAATTATGCAAAACTAAATAAGTTTTTGTACTTTCATAGTTAGACCATTTAAAATGTTGAAGAAAACTATTGTGAAACAGAATAGAAAAATAAATTAATAAATTTTTGTACCTAGAATGAAATTAAAAAATATTTTGATTTATTTATTTGATATTATACAAATTTTATATTATTATGAGCTTCTCATATAGTTATAAATGTGAAAAATTTTTTACCATACATTTTGGATTAATAGGCTTATAACTTCTATACCAGTGTCGACGGAAGGTCAACTGCAGACAAATCTTAGTCCAATTGACTTTTGGACTCACCCTCACCCTCTAGGTTTCCATGGCTGGGCCTAAGTTGATTTCTCCTCTTCCCTTTCCCCCTACCATTATCCCAAATGCCACTCATCCACATCCAAACTTATGTATCCATCTTGTAATCCTAACAAGATTTCTTACAAGCTCACAAGACGTTACAAGGTATACTGCTCATCAGATCCTTGCGGGCTCCAACAACAACAACGATAGACGAACCGTAGCGTTGCCGAGGTCTCCTGCTTTAATAACTATGTTTCAGTAGCATATATCAAATGAAGCTACCATCTAATATAATACTTTAATTTTCAGTTTGTTTAATGTTTGCCATTTAACAAGATGGATTGGTTAATAACCACAGAATGTGTTAAAATTGTGAAAACTCTCTAGAAAAATTGTTACGCGTTCAACTCTATTTGAGTAGTAAACACTGTATGTTTATAAAAAAAACTATTAAGTAAATTTTAAAACTTTGTATATCGTTGACAATTTTTTACCATTTTTTATGGCTTCTAAGTCCAATTTATTCTCTTTGGTTCAGTATAATGTTGATGAATGATATAATATTTCCCTAAAAACTATCGAATCAATTCTTTTACGTTGTTGTTGTTGTTGTGAAAATATCTATAGATCTATATGGCAGATAATATTAAGAAATTATAAAGAAGAATTCATGGGTTAGGATATGGTTAGGTATAATAAGTGTGAAGAGTTAGGGGATTATTAGGGGATAAGAGCAGATTAAGGATGGGTATGGAATTGTTTTACTAGATAGTTTATTAGATTGTTTTACAGGCTATTTTTCTCTCCACATTGGTTTTATCAATTACAAAACACGTTCAGTATGCACATGGGTTTTTTACAATTAAAGAAATATAATTTCGGCTCATTAAGAAAAAATCATTCAAAGTGATAATTAAGTACGTAATGTTAATTAACTATATGAGATATATATGAGATAAATTTAATTAAGTATTACATAAAGACAAACACATATACAGTAAACGCTTATAAATCAGAATTAGAAATTTGTACATCCAAAACTTAGAACTTGATTTTGTTATGCATTAAATGCTTTGAAATTAACACTTTGGTTCTAATTTTAGAAAGACTTGGTTTTTATATGTTAGTGATCAACAAAATAAAACTGAGAATGGGGATTCACCATACATGTTATTTTATCTTCTATGACTGTTAAAAATTTTGATAACTTTATAATATTTTATAAAAGGAGTGCGTTGTTTTTATCTAAGCATATCGCGAATCTGTACTTGTTTTTAGTTCTTAGACATTGTTATTGTCTAAATTATTCCAAGATAATGCAGAGGCGTTTGGAGAGACATGTAGCGTCAGGCAAAAACCCGATAATGGGTTGTTACTTACTTATAGGTAAGTAAGAAATCCAAGATAACAAAGATCATGGATTAAGACAATATATGCAAAACAAACATTTATTATAATTGTATAAAAAATTTTTTTTTATAAGAGAGAAAAAACAAAATGTCCAAAAATTAGAACATTTCGGAAATAAGAATTAAACGAACCGAATATTTTTTTGTAAAGCTGAGATCGGAATACATATCCTGTTAGTTATACCAAAGACAGTTTAAAAAAATATCTTAGATTAAATATCTTTGCTTTCAATCACGTAAATATATTCAAAGTCAAATTGCTACTAATCATAGCGTAAATATATATCATTTTAAAAGGATTTCAAGTTTTTTAAGACACTTGCTATATAAGTTGTAAGGCACTATGTGCTAAAGATAGTGAATCATTGTAAAATATATATCTTTTTTTATTAATGATATTTTTATTTTTTATTTTTTTTCATTAATGATAAATTTATTTTATTTTTCTTTATTAATAATAAATTTATTTTTTTTTTTCGTTAATGATATTTTTATTTTTTTTTAACACCATATTTTCTGAGATAATAGTTTACTATTGAGATCAGTGTAATTTTCTTATGTGTGATCTAAAATATATTCTGATGTTCTGGAGTTTCCCATAAATTTAGTATTATTATAACTGAATATTATCTCAATTAAAACAGTTATAACGCTAAAAAAATGAAAACTTTTTTTATAAATATATATAATTTATTTAGGCATGCAATTTTACAAAACTTTGAATATTTAAAGAAATACATATTTAATTGCAATTATTTAATCGTTTATCGTGCCAATAATAAAACTAATTTAAATATAAATATATAAATATATGTATAGGTTATGTATTTAACTCACATAATAATAAATATATTTTACTTTAAAACGTGGCGGGGTCTTATATAGTAAAAAAAATATTTTATATTTCAAAATTTTTTGTTTTATACAAAAAAAAATTTAATGCCACAAAAAATTTAAATTTCTTAATCTAAATTTTACAAACTTTATGTTTCAATAATTGGACATTTCTTTTACATTTTTTTTAAATAAAAATATTTTTTATAACATAATTAAATTTGGAATTTTTCAAGCTTATTATAAAAATTTTCAAATTGTGAAACATTTTTAACACAACAATAAAAAATAAATTAAAAATATTTTTTTACTTGACAAACAATTGAAAAAGTGGATTCAGTAAATAATAGAAGTAGCTCAGGCAATCTTTCTGTCGCGACTATCAAAATTGAAGAGCTGCTGTTTTGCATTGAACTCCTTCGACATTGTGTATGGGGAAAGCACCGAGTTAAATGGCTTCATTTCTGGCAGTTTTATGTTAAGCTATATAAAAAGAAAAATTCAAACATTTCTAATTTACTGCAATACAAAGATTATTTTGAACAGAATTTACATAAATGTAACTAGAACTATTTTAAAGTCTAGACATGCTTCAATTTATGGATTATTATTGTGCAAAATGGGTTGTTACCTACTTCCGAAAGATAACATTAATACAGTGAAATGCATAAAAAGTCAAAAAAAGTACAAACATTTATGTAAAATAGATGTCAGAAAAATTAAAAAAATTTTGGACCAAATCAGTCATAGAACACCCCGACTAACATCATTAAAAATGATATGTGATACAGGAGCGTAAATTGTGAGAAGGAATATCTCTATGTGCGGTATCTCCCGGGTGTAACCTAAAGATATTGCACAAAAAAGAGCCTTTTAGAAATTATCAGAATAATCAGAATAATATCAGAATAATATTTCGACCTATATCTTTAGGTCACACCCAGGAGATACCGAATAAAAAGTGCCTTTTAGAAAACACCAGGAGAGAATAATATTTCGACTGAACTGCATAAATAATGAACAGTCTAAACCATTTTAGAAAGGTTGAAAAAACATTGAATATGATGTGCGCCATAACAAGTACATTAATTAATCAAAAAAATTAAGCAGATTATGGTAGCTAATATAAAACATTAGATAGGTTGCTATAGTAATAAGAATATTATACGGTTAATGTGAAACGTTATTATGAGTTTTTTGGGTAGAAGAATTTGTTCTAAAACTATTGAGTGTTGCTTTGCTAACTCAACCGCTCGTAGCGAACATAACATCATTATAACATACCCATAATACATAACAGTCTATTCTCCAGAGATGACACCCTGCAACTTTTTTACATACTCTAAGCCCAAAGTAACACTCACAGAACAACATTTTTCAACAATAGATGAGCTAAGGATGAAATCACAGAGTAAGCTGTATTTCTACAACTAGAAACTAAGGTAGCGTAGGTAAGTGCATAATATCAAACGGACACTACATTAAATGATATAGTTTAAATAAGGCAATACTTTGTGAAAATTAAGAATACTCGATATTTTATATTGCTTTAAATGTTAACTTATGCTAAAATAAAGTTTAGTTATTAAAGATACAATAGCTACAATCGCTACAAACGGGAAGGTTGTACGAGAAGCATGCGGCATGGATAGCCAACCTATAAGAGATCGCGAAGGAAAAAATCGCGAAGAAGTTGAGGGGTTTTAGTTCGTATACTACACAATAGGAGTCGGACACACCATTCCGACGACGGTCGGTTTAACGATGTATAAAGCTTCTCCCTATCTCCTCTTCTCAAAAAAAATCGTTATAATCCTCCTAAATTGAGCACATTATATACATTAATTTGTGATTATAATATAATATAAAATATAAATTAGTAAAAAAATATTTATTTTAACTTACCAACTCATTGTTGCTACGCATAATTTCATTGTTTGACCATATTGGATCCATCCAAAACGGAATGTTCTAAAGAGAGAAAATTTGATGAATTTTAACTCAAGAATGGCAAAAATCTATCTAAAGGAACTTACTTTAGATGGTGGTGTATCCGGTTTGGGTGGTTCGTACCATGGGTACATTGGGATATTGTTTACATATTTATAGGCTGCATCAGTTGGTATCATAAGATTTGAAAAATGTGTAACTCCTGTTTGCAATTGTGGCTGTTGCAGCATTGTAGGAAGCGCATATTGCTGTGGTTGCATTAATCCAGTGTTTAAATGATTGGCTATAAAAAGTGGAGGCAAGCCATTATTTCCATAATTATTATTTATGTAATTCTGTGCATGATGTTGTTGTTGATAATATGGCATGGCTTGTCGGCGATTCCATAACTTTGTTGCGGTACTATTGCCATATGCTGAAATGGGAAGATTTGTCATAGGCTGGGTAGCTGTTATTGGAACTGTTGATGGTGGTGGTAGCGCAGTTGTCATTTGCTGTGGTATCGATAAATTTAATGAATTATTAAATTCAGAGAATGATGAATTTGCCGAAGAGTTAAATGATCCATTTAGTATATTAACTGACGAGGAAGAATTAAAAGAATTCTCTTTGTTGCTACCGTTTAAACTATATCCGGAAGAGTTTAAGCCAAAGGATTGATTAGCAATATTTGAGTAAAATGAATTATTGAGACTATTTGCCTTGGCTTGATTACATGAATTGTTATAAAATTTAGCACTGCTATTGAGAGTATGTGCCACGTTGTAATTATTTTGTTGACGATAGTTGCTTTGTACTGGATAATTAGGATTTATTGACGTAAGATTTTCTGCTAAAATCCTTTGTTTTTGTGGTGGCATTTGTATAAGATTTCCGTAAGTGTTATTGGTTGTCGTTGTTGTTTGTGAAGCAATAACTGCATTAGAGTACAATGTTTTTTCTGGAGAAGAAACATGTATCTTCTTCTCTTGTAGTGGCGCACGTATGGCTCGTTGTGATTTTTGCTTTAGAGTTGACGATTTCAATGGAGCAAATTTATTTTGTTGACTGCTTGATGTTGGAATGGTTCCGCTGAACACTAAGAAGCAATTAGTATTAATTTATATTAAAATAGATAGAAAAGACTCAATACTATACTTACGTTTGCAATTGCTTACGAGAGTTACCTCACAACGGTCTTGTGAGGAGGAAATAGAAGCCGAAAATATATCCAAATAAGCATTAACCAATGCATATACACTTGGATAGCCTTTTCAAAGTCATGTAATAGTACCATTTGTAATCAAAATAATATTTTCAAATTTCAAATTCTGCATCATCGCTTACCAAATTCAAAAGTTGTTGTCAAATTGCAATTCAAAGCAGATTTTAGTTCATACACCGTCATCATTTTACGTTGTTCTAAGAGCGCTACTATATCCATAATGAAGTTGAATAATTTAGTTAGGCGTACTCTATACGTAGCATCTTCTTCGTATATCTGAAAACATATATATGACATGAATTAAAACTATATACGAATCTGAAATAAATACCTCTATTGCATGTTTCATTGCTTTTATAGTGTTTTCTTCCACATCTTTTTCCATTGGCTTCAGCTTCTCTATGAGAAATGCCAAGCACAAATTTTTTGATTTTTGAGTAGTTGCATTTGTTTTATCACTTTTGGGATCTGTATCTATGATAATTTTACAAGCTTGATAGCAAAGCGAACGGAAACTTTGGTCACCATTATGGCAGATAATGAAATAGACATTGTCTTTAAGCAAAACCTTTAAAAGAACAAATTAGTACTTATGACTAAAAACTATTCGAAACAACAATTTACAGCTACATTTTATATATTTATATATAATATTATATGAATATGACACAAGATTTCTTATGTTTTTTGATTGTATTGCTTCTGGACATTTAAGCAGTTTTTTAGAATACTGGCATGGATGCATTTTGTTTAGATGTCAGCAGTTTTTTTAAATGTTAACAAGTTTTCGCTATGTTGTGAATTAGTCCGGTAGTACTGCTAGTACCCATGAAAAATAACTAACAAAACTAAAATTCTAATTACAAATATGCATGTGAACAAAATATTGTATTCAAAATTTGTGACTTGAAAAATCGCAAATAAATAATATCACCTTTGGAATGGGTTTTTGGCAAAATAGTTCAATGAAAGTGATCGATCCAACACCGTATTCATTTAGCTAAAGCTACACTTATATCAAATTCGCTAAAGTACTTTGAGGCTATACCTCAACCAGCTTATGACAAATGTATGGAGGATTGACACAAGTATTATACTCGGATTTGTTGCATAACTATCTGTTTGTGGGGTATTTAGAATACGTCAAAGCCATAGATAATTTTTTAGGTTAGAATTTTGTAACATTAAAGCCAGGTGATAACTTAGTGTTACATATATATAGAATATTTCCATTCGAAGTGGTTCGAAAAATGAAATAAATTCTAAGGCGTTGACTGAAGAGGACTACCCGTATAGTTGTTCCCGGTCAAACAAGATAATTTTGTGGGCTCTTCTGTTGGCAATAAATTTTCTTATCAGGAAGTGTTACAAAAATCTTTAATCTGGTACTAAATATTTACAATAACGTACATATTCGTACAATAACGTATGTTCATAAGAATACCTCATCGCGTTGTAAAATGTTTATAATTGGTTTTTATTGAAACTGATCCCCCATCCCCTAGATAAAAACTAAAAAACATTTAGTTTTAATAAGATAAATGATATAAGCAGCCTTAGCAGTAGAAAACGTATATGTTACTACACTCTTTTACAAGCTTTATAGATAGTTTAGCTTATTAACCTTATCATAGTTAATACTAAATACTAATACTAGTACATCTCCTATTTTGTATTATTAATTTTCACCTCACGAACTCAGCAATTATGAAACTGAATTGGGAATTAATTTAAATTAATTGGTATATTCTGGTATAAAATATATATAATACTTGTAATAATAATTTGAATTTGTAATAAGTGTGTAAAATTTTAAGGTACCTCAACATATGGTAACAAATGTATAGCTTCCATAATATTGTTAACGCCTAATGTCTGTGGCTGAATTTGGTATCCAAACTTTTTCTTATGCATTTTTAGTACTTCGTTGAGTTTTATGCATGTATTAGATAAATGCGTGAAACTTAGTATTAATTCTTCAAGTTGTTCAGCGAAAACTCTTTGAGCCACCTTTGGAGAAAGTGTAATTTTTTTGTCCTCCTCGCTTGTTAGTTCCATTTCAACAACCCCATTTATAGCTTCCATAAGGTCAGCTAACTTCAGAAAGCCATATTCACTCAATCGACATTGATAATCGAAATGATAATGATAAGAGCGTACAAAATTTTGAAAAAGAATGGTATACTGCGGTGCGTTACGGAAGAGTTCTACCATTTCTCCAGCGAATGCAGTTGTTTTTTCCAGTTCTATATTAGTTTGTTTACGTTTTGGTATTGAAATTAATATATCGGCGCCATTTTGTACTGGCGTTACGACAACTATATTGGAATTAACAAGTCCGTCTAATATATCCACAATATCACATACACCATACTCGGTCACATCAAAATTTCGATTTTGTGTCTGTGAAAAAATTGTTGGAAGCTGAGAGAGTAATATCGATTTATTACCGTGGGCACGCAATACTCGTAATAAATTCGATGTAAAACGACGTATTTGAGTGCGATGAGTCAATGTAATAAGACGATTTTCACCGTCACCCATTATTTGTATCACAGATGCAAGTGCCTCAAAAAGTTCAATTAGTTTTGTGAATCCATAGTCGGCAACTCGACATTGTTTCCCAAAGTGATTATGATAGGCTGGTATGAATCGATTAAATTTCATTGTAGATTTGGGTGACATCTTAATGAGCTCCATTACTTCACGCGATATGTGATAAAGTGGATCAGTCATAGAGTTCTTTGAGAAAAGGTTGTTACGTTCTGTTAATGACGAATTAATAAGGCTTGAATTTAACACATCTTTTTCCATTTCAACCCAGCCAAGTATCTTTATGCCAAAGTTATTGACCTGTATTTGTATGCCTTGAACACAGCATATTAAATGCTCCAGATTTACACCATTATCGTTGGGTATAATTTGTAGGCTTAATTGCGCTTCAATGCAGTGTACCAATGAAGCCACTGGTATATCACCAGTATGATGTTTGAGTAAAGGATATATCATTTTCTGAATTTCTGTTATGGTCATGAAAACATTTGGTAGTGGTTCAATTTCTTGCTCCGCCCAGCCTTTATGTTGTTCTCGTTTAAAATGGATTGTACAGTAGGGAACGCTATGTTGCAAGCCTTCCATTAATGGTGAGTTTTCCAAAGAATTAACCAAATCTGGGTGTAAGCTAATGGACTTTTCCTCGTTATTATCTGAATTAATAGTACAAATATCCTGCATCTTATAAAGATCCAAAACATTAATAGAAGTTTTGAAACGTGACTGAAAAAGTTCTCGAAACTTATACATAGGAAGAGTGCAATAAGGAATATCCTAGTTAAAACAGTTGAACGATTTTTAAATATTTTTCAGAAAAGTTTGTAAATCATATTTTACCTTAAGTAAGCCAGCTACTTGGCAACGTAATGTATTGATTTCAGTCAGAGAGGAGTCGCGTGTATAAGAAACGATCATGCGTTTGTGACCAATTTTTTTGCGATGTAAGTTTGACACTACTTGCTTAGCAAACTGAAATTTATTTGCATATGTGGGTAAACTAAAAGATATTATAAGCAGTTATACTCACATAAAGATCTGGAACTGTTACTTTTGCATAAGAACTTCCTTCGAAAACCAATGAAACGACGGGGGTTATTGGTTTTAGTTGTGTCATTAAAAAGTTGCGCAAGATAGATTCTTCCATCGTGTAATCCAAGTTTGTGATTTGTAAGGTAACCGTTTGATTTACATTTGTAACACTTGCATGGCATTGCTTTAAGGTATATATCGATGTGCTAGTTGTAGCACTACTAGCTGCATTGGCCATAGCTGTTATGATTCCTTCAAAATGTAAACACTTAATTTATTAAACTACACGCATTATATGAAAGAAAGGGACTATCAAAGAGGATAAAATATAAAATTACGCTATATTAACGAAACCCCATTAGAATACGTCATGGTGGAACCATCGTGATTTGTCATATCTTCTTAAATAATTTACCTAATTTTTTTTCTTTATATTATACAGTTTTATATGCAGACATTTATTTTATTATTGCTTATTGAAATTTAAAATTAGTAAATATGGAAATAAAAATGAGATGTAGATAATAAAAAATATATAAATTAGTTTATGTTTTAGGTAACTGCTCTTAGAAATCAGATATATCATTTATGATATATAAACTCTGTTCTGATATTTTCAAGTAAAAGTCAAGTAACATTTGCTGACATTTGCTCACCTAAGTTTAACTTCCCTTAAAAGTTCCTAGTGGTAATACCAGACAGAAATGACTGGGAAAAAGTCTAAATTTGATTCCGACGAATGTTGATCGTCCTAAGGTGATACGGGTCAACTGATTGCTCACAGCCCAACTAATTCAACACCTTCAGGTATATATATCAAGGAATTTTGTTATATTTTAGTACATATTTTTTTTCTTAGGTAAATATAAATCAACTGTAAAAATTAAATATAGTGTTCTGAAAACCTGTAGTTGGTTTAAGCCGTCCTGTTGAGATTGAAATAACTGATCTTAGTTATGTATGTATGTATTTTTTAGAATATATTTGATACTTTGCATTCCTAATTTATTGTTTGACTTAATTTTTTATATTTCTTATTACAGTTATGTATATAAAACATCTATTATGTTCTTAATGGTCTACTCCGTTAGAAGTCGTTGATCTGAAACTATTGAAATGAAAATTTGACTGGTTATTTCATTGCTACTATTTAAAAATACTATTCTAAATATATTTACTACATATTTATATAAAATGTTTAGTTTTGCGTATTATATGTAAATTTTTGTATATATACTGTAAGAAAAAAATATAAAATCACGTAATTTACCTATATTAAAAAAATCAAAAATTCTGAAAAGGTACACGCAGAACTGGTGTAAATGCAGAACTTCTTATGTGTGACGTAAATCTCTCAGTTGACATCTGGTGGCCAATTATGAAGAAAATCTAGGAAGAAGAAAATATGCCGGAGAGATGGAATGAGAGCCTTCTAGCTAAAATTCTCTCATATGGTGACATTTTCAACTGCAATAACTTTAGAGGGATCAGCCTGCTACCTATACCTAACAAAGTGTTCATAACAATTATCCTACAGCGACAGAAAAAATCTTAAGGCAAAACCAGCATGGCTTCCGCAGAAACAGATCGTGTGTAGATCTTATAAATACCCTTAGAATCATCTTTAAACAATGAAATGAGTTTCGAGCACCCATATATGCAGTTTTCCTAGACTTCAAAAAAGCCTTTTACAGCCTCAAACGCAAATTTATCTGTTATGTGTTAGGGAAAAGAGGTATGCCTATAAAAATCATAAATCTTATCAAACAACGTTTCAGGCTTTTCGAGTGGAAACGGGAGTTCGACAAGGATGTATTCTGTCACCTATCCTATTCATTCTAACTCTAGACAAAATTCTGAACAAAGCCCTTAGCAACACCCGTGGTATTTAATGGGGCCCATTCGAGCACTTGCAAAATTTAGATTTTGCCAATGACGTCGTTTTATTGAGCTATATGCATAGTGAACTACAAAATATGTTTGAGCGAGTAAGAATTGCTGCTTAGCGTGCAGGACTTGAAATAAATGTAAGCAAGACCAAAAGTATGTATGGTAGTTATGATGTGTCACAAGACGCTCGTCTGCAAGCAAGCGGTGAGGAGATACAATGTATAAGTTCTTTTACGTGCTATGGAAGTGCAGTAATAAACAAAATCGGAACGGACGAGGAAGTTGCAACACGCATAAAGAGGGCGCAATTAGTGTTTGGATAATTCCGGAATATATGGAAATCGCGGTAAATTATGTTGATAGAAAAAAGAAAATGCGTATTTTATGTAACAGCAGTCCTTTATTAAGGCTGCGAAACATGGACGCATTCAAAACAGATAGAAAGAAAGACACAAACATTTTTAAAGAAATGCCTGCGGAAAATCCTAAAAATATGGGGGCCTAACCACATATAAAATGCAAAGGCAGCAGATGTCCTGGTGCACCGGCTTTAACTTGGAGAAGGACAATTGAAAGAGAAATGACAGAAGCGCACTACACATGGAACGATATATGCAGAAAAACACCTAACAGAGTGCATAGGGCAAGAGAAGCGTTGCGGTCCTATGCCCCACTAGGGGAAACGGATACTAAGAAAAAGAAGATGTTATGTAATATCTAATTATCTTTTATATTTTAATGTATATAATTAAATACATGTTAATGTTCTTATTATTATTAATTAAATAAAAATTAACTTTATACACTTTATAAGTAAACATATCAGAGGTACAGTATATCTAATTCTATTCATATTAGGTTTCATAATAATATCTATACGCATGCGGGAATTTTATACAATGTGAATATTTTAAATGTTATTTTATTTCATGAAAAATTTTAAATATTTTATTTAATTAAATATTTTAGTTGAATTAAATGAAACTATAAATTAATTAAAAATAAATTAGATGGATATTAGAGCTGGCTCCTATGAAATCATTGGAGTCATTTTTATGTTTTGCCTTTGCAATCTAAATATTATTTGTCTATGGTTGCGGATTTTCATAAATTGACAAGATTTGGAAAATAAAATTTATTGTACTTGAAATATGCAGTCTGCAGAAATAAAATAAACTGTGATGGTTTAGATAAAAAGCTTTGAGAAAAAGTTCATAAAATTTAAACTGATTTAAGCAGATATATTTTATTTCTGATCTATTATTTTGAGGAACTTTAGTATTGTAATTGTTAGAAATACAAAGCACTTCGTTTTCACTATGCATAAAACTCTTTGAATGTGCTTTAAACTATCACTTTCTGTGAAAATTTCTAAAGCGGGTATTACACATCATACCATAACTTGGTGCGTTGAATGCGAAATTGGTGCCAAATCTCATGTATAATAGCAATACAGTCAAACTTCCATAACTCGAAGTACCATTTTGCAAGGAAAAGATTCGTCTTATGGAAAATTTGAGTTAGAGAACTTTTTTTTATTTTTGAAAGAAACAATATTTTAAGATATTTATTTATTTATTTGAAATCAAATATACCATAGTTATAGTAAAGTTAAAGTAAAGGAAAATATTCAGAAATTAGGGTTACGAATTTCAATTTTTTTCTTATTTTCAGTAAAAAGAGATTCCAATTTAATCAAAGCCTTATAGTGATCATCAGTTGTAGTGTGATTCGTTTGTTAATAAATATTCAGAATTTTGAACGAGTCTTCTACTTAATTCTTGGAAGGCTAATGAACAATTTCATCCACCGAATCCTCATCATCACTTTTCGTTGCGCTTAGAATCGGGTCCACGGGTACAGAGCTATAATGCTTACTAACATCGTCAACTGTGTGAAAGATTGATTTACAAATTTCTTTGTCAATCTCAATATAATAGTTAAGAGTAGCAATGGAAGTTATTTTATTTATTTTGAACCATACTGCTGGTGACTGGTATTTGCACAAAGAAGCAAAATAAAAAAAAAAATTAAATATTTGGTTTGGAAAAAGGTACGTGACAATATTTTTATTCAAGTTATAGAGAAATTCGAGTTATAGAAGTTCTAGTTATGGAAGCAGAATTGTATATATGTAGTTTGCTCTCTAAAACCTTGTTGCACTCTTTCTAATTCGAGTTATAGAAAATTCGACATATAGAAGTTCCAGTTATGGAAGTTTGACTGTATTTGCAGACATGACGAGCAGACGGATGGAAAACAAAATATTTTGATTTTCCGTCGGACTTGCTCGTGTTGCTTTGTATACAATCGGATTTTTGTCGGCTTACATGCAAATTTCATTTTATTTTGAGGGATGAAAGCGGAAACATCGTTTAAATGCACGCATGATTTTTTTTGTTGTGTACTCGTATTTGTTGTTTTTTTTTGCTGAGAAGTGTTCAAAATAATGTCGGCAGTGCATGATGTGTAATAGCACCAAGTACGATGTGTAATACCCGCTTATAGTACACTGAAAGTAATACAGCTTAAATTTTAGCTGAAAGTTTTAAAGAAATATTTTTTACGGTTAATGAATTGTAGCTCACCTGATTGTTGTATGTACTGTGTCTGCTACAAAAAAAAAAAAAATTAAAGTGATCGATGAATATAATGCAAATTTGAACTAAGTAGTACTTACTGAAGTTGCAATGTCTGGCATTATATCGGACATAAGCATGTTTTGGTGTCGGTAGCCTTGACCAATTTTTCCATATGTCGATGCATTATATGTATTGTTTGCAGATGCTGGAGTCGTAGTTTTGTTAGTTGCTGAGTTTGATGGACGGTTGTAATTGTAGGGCGCAAAACGAGTTCTTGTACCTGTGACGGTTAGTGAAGTGCCAGCACTGTTTACAGACTCTTTTGCTAAATTTGTAGTTATGTTGTTATCTACATCATCATTATTTTCAATAATATCAGTTGAAGTTGAAGAAGACAACTGCATATTATGTGGTGTAATATCACCGTTTGTGGAATTGTGATTATTATTATTGTCACATAAGTTACAGTCGGTTTCATTCAAATCATTGTTATTATTTATTTCCATTAACATTTTATCTTTAATTACGTTGGTTGTTTCAGTTTTAGAAATTACATCCAACTCCGATTCCTGTTTATTTATATTTAACGGATATTTCTGAACTTGGTGAGTCATTTTACTGCAATTATCTGAAATCTCAGAAATACTCGCAAGTTTTGTTCTAAATTGAAATTAATTAAATTTTATTTTAGACATATTGTAGAATCGATTTTAATTTCTACTCACTCATTGAATATATCAGCCATATCAACGAGGTGCTTCTTATCTATTAAAATTTAAAATAAAATATTTTTAATAGAAGTTTACTACTATATTATTGTGTTTAAAATTTTAATACAATTTTAAGAGCCAAAATCACAATCGTAGGGTAAGTTTTAATACCGACTTAAGTCATGCTTAAGTCATTACCATTGCTGACCTAATTGGCTTTAAGGGTCATGTTATACAAACAGTCATATTACGAATAATCAAAAGGCATATTATACAAAGAGTCATATCATAGTTGTCAATTTTTTACCTTTACGATTATTTTGATACGATTTTTTTGTGTTTACAAAATCACACAAAAACACACATATGTATGTACTCCTGATAGGAAAAAGTTTTGACATTTTTTACTCAACAACACCGTTTTGATCACGTGCCGACTTTGTATGTCTTAATAATTTTCAATAGGTTGTTTTATACGAATCTGATTTTTGACAGCACTTTTTCTACTGGGAACCATTTAGATAATTGAAAGGTGAATTATAACATGAATAGAATCAACATGAATAGAATTTGGTGTGCTTTGGTGGGCCAACCACCATCACAATAGAAATATTAGCAATTTTATGGTCAATAAGCAGCGCTATATGTCCATTATTAGTGATTTTTTTGTTCTCTAATTAATTAGTATTAATATGTAATGCTTTCAATTTCAATAAGATGCCACCAGACACCATAGAACGCACGGCACAATTAGGTTATTGCAGAAAACATTGGTCCTGTGAATTGTGTACATAATTTCTTATAGGGAGCGAAGCATCTGACGCATATTCCAAATTGATGTCAACGTAAAGCCTTACAATTTCCAAAAGGTATAAGATCTTACACCAAAACAACAAAAAGTTAGACTCGAAAGAGCAAAGGAGTTGTTACGATTGCAGGACCACGAACGTGGCAAATTTCCAAATATTGTGTTCTCTGATGGAAAAAATTACCCTATTGAGTAGTTCATTATTTCTCAAAATGATATTGTGTAGTTAACTGAATGCACTGCCTTCATTTCGTCCACACAATGGCTTACGAATTCGCCAAATGCAAATTTGATGAACAATTGCATCTTGGCCGTTTTGGTGAGGCGAAGAGCAAAGTGAGAACTAAAAAATATGTCTACATGAATGCGCAAAAGAAAGCCATTGTTAAAGAATGGTCCAAAATTCCGGAAGATCACATTTGTGAAGCACGCAACTCATGTTTTAACCGTTAGAAAGCTAAAGTCAAGGTAAAAGGTGGCCTTCATCCATATCGAGCAATAGTGAATGGATTCTGAGTTTTGAATGAAGTTTTGATTATTTCCACAAATTTTTGTAACTTAAATCAATAAAAAATAATTTCAAACAAAAAACCCTGTAGTGTTATCTTAGGTAAGTATCGTTTCAAACTGTATCATTCTGTATGAAAAGTTGAGTCTATTCAGTAAGTGATTATTATCACCTCGAACTCAAAACTATTAAAAATATTTTATATGTATTTTATCATTTATTTATTTTACTATTATTATTACAAGCATGTATGTATATAGAAATTTCCATAATTTGATAAATGAATTATGAAATTTGAGTGTATCATTCCGGTACAAATATTAGTAAAAATATCGTACAGTTATAGGTTATATATGTTTATAATGAAAATGCTTACAAAAGCATATGTAAAATTTTTACCTATTTATTAATTTCATTAAGAGTCAAGGTGTGTAGACAATTATTGCATATTTTCTAATTACTTTATTTGTTTCCGATTCTAATATAAAATAACTCTATTTTCTCACAAAAAAATATTTCTAGTTCTTCAGTTACTCAAGACTAATTGATTTTTTAAAAAAAAAGCAATTCAAATGCAATTGTCATTTTATTTATGACGAAGAGAGAAGCTACACGGATGTTATAGTTTTTAATTATTGACAATTATAAATTTATATTAAAATGATTAAAAAAAATTTTTAAGTAAAGTTTAAAATTGTAGAAGTAATGATAAATCCGACCTCAACTTAGGCGCATTTCCACAGCCAAACATGTAAATAGATTACCTTCCAATCAATCTTTTAGTAAATAAAATTACATTGTTTTATTTGTAAATTTTGTAGTAATAATAAAACGTATATAGTATATATGGTGCCTATACACACACTCGTCTAGGTATACTGCTGACAGTCACAAAATCTATTGAGTATAAGTTCTATAAAAATATATTAAATAATCTTAACTCATTCGTTAAAATGCTTATTCATACACAGAGAAGAAATAGTTGTGGATTAAAAAAATAAGGAAATGAAGTCCTAAGCCCTATGAATTAGAAATAAGTTTGACCTAGAGAGGAGCGAACCGATATATATAAACCTTATTAAATGGTTTCGTATAATCTTTACCAACGGTTTTTATACATGAATGTTTTAGTTTAGATTATAATTAGATCATGATCATGATTTAATAACATGAAAATGTGGTAACTGCACTATGTAATGTAGTCATTAATGCAAGTACAGAGATAGGATAAGTGGTAAAATAAAATTCATAATAGTATTTTCGTTTGATCATTTTGACCTTAGTTTAAAAATTTCCTATGTTTTTATAATTTCAATATATGAATAGAATTCAAATTTTGAATAGTTTTTCTACTGATTTTCTTAAATTGCTCCAATATATGCCCTTTTTGAAGTTATTATTACGTTGCTAACACAGCAATTGAATTCCCCATTATCTATTTAGTTCCGACCCCAATGGCAGTTTTTGAACAAGTAATACAAACTTGTCTAATATACGACTTTCGCAAAGTTTTAGAGAAATCAAAGCATAGTTTTCTATATTTCTCGACGTACTCAAATCTATTAACTATGGAAAACTTTAAACGTATGTATAGATAATTGGCATAACTTGTCAGAATTCTTGCAGGATATACATAAAATAATGCTTCTAAAAATGTATGTATATTATCTATACAATATATAGTGTATACTATTTATATAATATAAATGTACCGTATATAAAATGTATTTACATGTTTTTATTGTATTAGAAATTTTGTGTACGGTATTAAAAGGAAATTTTCACAATTTGGCGCTTTTTTGGGACATAAATCATCTTATTAGCAGTAAAAGTACCGTATAGTTATTACGCCTAACATATATTTGGAATTAGAAAAAACTTAGAAAAAATTAGAAAAATTTAGAAATCTCTTATAAAAGCAAATAAAAAATATATACTAGGGATACTCACAGGTATATAGACATTCGGTATACTTTTACTTAGAATTTATTGTTGTGGGCAAATTTTTAATTTATGTTCTAAGCTGATCGAAAACAGAGCCATTAAATTTGGCTTGAATATTCACATTATTTTATATGGTCATAAATATCCAAAACATTTACTGTAAATTTTTTACTTACTCTATTGGTTTTTAATTCCAGAGCACTTTAGCTTTTCCTTTTGCTTAGTCACTCTATTCTTCCAGAAAAAGAGCCGTTCAATTTTTATTTCTTCTTTACTTTCAGAAGAAAAAAAATTGAGATGATTATTAACTTTTTATGCAATATAAAAAACAGCCGAATTTTTAAAATTTTTATTTATTACCAATTAAAATTTAAATAAGTTTATATAAAAAATTTTTTTTTTTGTTTAGAGTTAAAAAGTATTATTATTATTTAAAAATAATGTGAGCACTAGTAGATCAAATTAAATGAGCTTTTCAAATTTTAATTAAAAATTATTCATAAGAGTTTGTTTAATCGAATATAATAATTATATTATATTAAATAACACATTTCTTCAATAAATTGCCCAATAAAAATTTGATTACAAAAATTATAATTATTTTTTGATATAATAACTTTTAAATCTTTTTTTTGGTTAATTTGATTTTTTAATATTTTAATTAATTCTGTTTTTTAAATATTTGGACGATTACAACATATAAAAACGAAATCCACCGATCAAGGTTTTCATTAGACGTACAAAAACGTAATAATATAAAAACCATTCTTTTGGCTCTGCAGCATTAAAAGCTCTTCCACTAAAAATCACAAAAAAACAAAAAAAAAAAAAAATTGGAGACATTGGAAAGTATAAAGAAGTAACCGATATTGTTTATTGATTTAAAAATCGCTAATATTATTAATGAACTTTTAAAATAATGAATTTTGTTTTTAATAAATTAGTACTCAATGAAATATATAGACTGATATTATATTTTTATTATATTTTTAATATCTTAATAAGTGTTCTGTAGTGTATATATTTATGGCACTGCACTTATTACGAATATCTCAAACATTTTTTATTAAATTTATCATATTTATCAAATAAAAAGATATTTATTATATATTTTGACACTGATTTCGAATCATTAACTTGTAACATATGTGAGGAATTAACGTGCGTATATCATATCTTAAACAACTGCACACATCTATATTATTAAGCTCATAATATATATATTCTTTTTTTTGAATCTATTAGGCACGTAACCAGGGAGGGAGTTTTAGGTCCCCCTAATTTAATCAAAGGACTATATTCAAACAATTTCAAATCTATTAATTATTTATCTACTAATTAATTAATATATTAATTTATCTATATATTAATATATTAATTAATCTATTAATTAATCTATAAATTAAATAACATATTAATCTATTAATTAATTAATCTATTAATTATTAACACATTACTACTGTTTATTAAAAAGATATTTTTTTATGACTAAAATTATTTGAACGATGCCACCTCCAAATAAATTTTTGACTACAGACCTGTTATAAATATTACTTTCTAGCTTATTACACACTATACCCAAAACAAAGATCAACAATATTATTAATTTTTGCAAATAATGTAATTAAATCAAATTGCCAAACTTCTATATTTAACTTAGTCTACGTTTCTTTAACCTTGGTCAAAGCTGCATACGGTAGGAATGTGGTCCATATATATACACATATGGAAAATAATTAGTGTATTAATTATAAAATATTGTAGATATTAAATTAAGTTATTGTAAATTGTATATTATATGCTTATTTTTATACAAGTATAATCTGCATATGCGGATTTAGGTTTAAACGAAAACAAATTTTATCAGTTCGAATAAAATTTATATAACATATATAATAATAAATTGATAATAAATAATAAAAAAGGTTAACTATTCTATTAGCGCCAGAAAATTAAAATAGTCCTTAATTTATAAATATAACTTTTTAATTAAAATAATTAATTTAGAAATGTGCTTATACATCTTAATGTAATTAAATTTAATAATGGAAAATAATATCTTTGATTTTCTAAAGAATATCTGTACTTGTAATTGCATCACAAAAATATTTCTACGTTTAAATATTTAATAATATATAATTATTTTGAGACAACAAATAAAAGGAATTATAACTCAAGGAAAGTTAATTACATTGTTAATATGCATTACATATGCATTATATATACATTAATAATAACACTTCTGTTGATTGATAAGTGCAAAGGTAGAAATTGGGCGGAACCGAGGGGTTGCATATTATTACGTAAAATATTTATTACAATAACATGAATGGTGTTTGTGTATCGGATAATGCTAATAATCTAAGATTATTACTCGTAACAAATTCATCTAGCTAGTTAGTACTAGCTTTGCTAAACTCAAATACTTTTCCCAATGAGTTGAAGAGAATTGTCTTATAAATATTGTTTATTTATTTCTTTGGAAGTTAAAATTAATTTTAAAGTTAATGAAGAATAAGACACTGGGCTGCTAGGTCCTTCGCCCTGTGCTTATATTCATGTTAGGGATTATATCTTAATTTTATTTAATCTGTTTCTGGGTAGGTTTATTATAATGTAGTCGTCATTCTTGATTGCATTGAAAAGGCTTATGTCGTTGGTTGAGTTGTTGTAGACGTTTATGGTTACAATATATTCACACTTGAAGCATGTTGCTTCACCTCTATAGAGAGGTTCCTTATAGAGGATTCGTTATAGAGAGGTTCAAATATACGAAAATCGCTGTGTCTTCAACAAAACTTCGTTATAGAGAGGAATTCGTTATAGGGAGGTTCGCTATAGAGAGGTTTCACTGTATATTAATATTTAATTAACATTGATTTATTCATTATTATTATTCTTAGGGAATGTGGCACTACGACCATATTGTGCCACCTTCTGTGCTTAGAGAAGGTCTTTAAGCCCTGTTGCGTCAATAAAAAGTAGTAAAGAATATAAGAATATACATTCTTAGGAGCCTATTTTGTATGCGCATTAGTGCAGGGCATTCTAACAGCACATGTGTTAGCGACTCCTCAATCTCTTTACAGAATCTACAGTTTGCATTCCTAAGTGTACCTAGTTTTGTAAGGCAGTGTTTTAGTCTACAGTGCTCTGTAAGGATTCATGTGATGATTCTAAGATTTTCTTTTGATCGGTTCATATTAATCCTGGTATCTCTTATTGTAACAATAAGTGATTTGGATTATCTTAATCCTGGTATATTATTCAGTAATCCTTTTTATTCTGGTTCTCATTTATCTTTATGAGAGAAAGGAGCTCCTTTTCTGGCTAGTTTGTCTGCGTATTCATTTCCGCATACGCCAGTATATCCCAAACAATCGACACCTGATTTGATTCGTCAAATAGATTTAGCTCATCAAGGCAGTACAACACCAGTCGTGAGGTCACCTGATGCGAATTCAATGCTTTGATCGCCGCTTGGCTGTCTGTCAGTATTACAATATTTTTTCCCTGGTAATTCCATTCAATATTGATGAGTACGCATTTTGAAATTGCTTAAATTTTCGCTTGGAAGATATTAGTATTTTTCCTCATCGCTCCCCAGTGTTTATTGCCTGGTCCTACTATGCCCGCTCCGGTGTCTTCCTCCGTAAGCGAGCCGTCAGTGAACCATGAGATTGTGGTATTCGTTAGTTGATAGGTTTGATTGATGCCCTCCCAACTTCTTTTGTTGCTTAATTCAGTTTTAAAAAGCTTAGTAAAGCTGAACTTAGGATTCATCGTGTTCCATGGCATTGAAAATTCCGAACGCTGTTTGACAAGATTTTCGAACTATTTTCTATTGAGCCAGCTATCCATTATATTTCCTGTCTTCATTCGTAAAACTTCGTAGAACCCCTTATACATACGTATGCTAGGCTTTGTAGCCTGTTAAGTGGATAAGTGTTATTCTATTGTCTGGTTCCGTTTTCCCAGATGAGTGCCCCATATAAGATGAAAGGTCTGATGATCGCCGGATAGACCCATCGCAGTATTTTTGGTGTAAAGCAACAACTTTTGCCTGCTATTGATCTACAGATCATAAGAGCCCTAGTGGCTTTCTTCGTGACCTCTTCAGTATAGTGTTTTTGGTTGAGATGTATGCCCGAAAATTAAACCGTTTTCTTTATTTCTACCTTAATTCCATTGAGTCTGATAGTCTTCAGATGTTTGAGTTTGTATTTTTTTATAAAGGTTACAACTTTAGTTTTAGCTGGGTTTATACTCAGTTCTACCTTGTTGCATCAGTTTCTTGTGATTTTTAATTCATATTGGATTTTATAGAGTATTTTCGTATGGAGTATTTTCAAATTTTCCTCTGCTTGTTGTGACTATGTCATTTGCATAGCCTTGCACTGCTAGTCCGTTGTGAAGTAACAAGTCTTAGCTCGTAAAGTACTTCATCCACCAGTATGCTCCACATGAGTGGTGACAGTACCCCACCTTGTGAACATCCTCGTGTGGTATTCATCATTATTTGACCCGTACTAGTGTGTGTTTCTACCTAACTAGTTCGAAGCATGTTGTTCATCCACCGTGCCAAAGTAGAGTTTATTATTATTTTTATTAGTGATCTAAATAATTATAATAATGGAATAGAGTACATAATATTTTTACTAAAATGCAGTTGCTTACTTACATACACCTATAGCGATTAGCAGCTATTTTTGATTTCACCACGAAAGAAATAGAAGAATACAGGTTTCGACTACAAATTACAAACGATAAAAATTAACTTAAAAGACTTTTATGCCAGAACAGCTAAAATTCTATAAATGGTCTTCCGGTCGATCTTACAAAGATCTTTCGAAATACATTTAACGATCTTTGTCAGAATTGACCTGTTAATGTCCTAATTGCCTTAAATTTTGGACTTTCTTTAAAATTGAAACAAAGTTTATTTAGCACACATATTCAGTATGGATTATCTATTAAATTTTAAAAAAAGTATTGTTGAAGGACCATTTACTGAGTTAGTTAGTTAATGGATTAGTTTTTGTTGTATATGTTGTATATGCTAAGTAAATCGTGTAGCCGAGATAAAATTTGTTAAGGTATTAATTAAAGCATCGATATTATCATTTATACTGGCTTATTATCAATAATTTTTTATTGCTAATTGAACATTCTGTTCATTTGAATGTATTTTCTGCTCTATGCCAATATTTGGAACAACAACATTGTCCAGAAATTATTAAGAATTCTCCTCCTCCATTTCAATAGTAGGTATGTGTTATTTAAATTAAGTGTTATTATAATTGCAACCACAGAACGTGTAATTGTA